ATCAAGAAGCACTGAGGTTTAATACCCAGCTCAAACAGAAAGACAGCTGCTGCCTGCACAAGCAAGAAAAACACATTGTAAAATAATTTTAAAAACCAGTTAGCAGCAAACCTGTTTAGAGTAAATGACGACTGCAGTTAACAATCTAACACATACAAACATACTTGTGTTGTTTGTTCAGAAACACCTTCAGGATAGTCCTCCTTAGAAAAGGACTACCCTGAAGGTGAACTCCCTCCCTCCCTCCCTCCCTCTTCATGGCCGTTGTCCTCCTGCTCTTTATGTTCACCATTCACAGCCTTTGCACCCGAAACTGGATATCCAAACCAAATCTGATTTCTCCATGAGAATTCCAGCCACACCACAGGTGCAAGGGACACCCCTACCTTCATTTGTAGAAACTACAGCGCCTACACCCTGTGCATTCTTAGCCACCTCAGATCTCATTCTTTAGCATTTACACCTTTGCATTTTCGGTATTACTGTGGTAAGGCGCCTTGTCTGTGTTTTCCCTCGAAGGCGCAAGCCTGATTTCACGATTTACTGCTGAAGAGCCACTTTAGCCACTACCCAGTGCATACGTGGGTGGACTGGCCATGAGGTAGGACGCAAGAGGGACCATCTGCCTCGTGGAGGAAGCGCAACGAGGCCACTCAAGGAAAGAAGGAATCTGTAAAACTCCCCGAGACTGTCGATTACACAGCACAGAGATGAAGGCATCCAGCTGTGCGTTCTGTCAAGTTGGTTTCGGCATGTTGTGGCATTAAAGTGAAGAAGCTACAATGTGAAGTAATTGAAGTAAAAACAGCTTGATACGCGGAATCCAAGAAAAAAAAAAAGACATCACAGAAATGGCAAGTAACAAAGGTTCTTTGTCTAGGAAGCAATCTGATCAGGGACAGTTACATTAAAGCACAACAGAAGTGGTCAAGAGGACTCAGCCCTTGAACACTTCGCGATGACCGTTTAAAATTTAACATGTTTGGAATCCAATTGACAGAAACCAACTATTTTGATTAAATAGTTGTTCATTTTGTCACTATAAAAGGCATACATTTCTTTCCCTTGTTCTCCCTGGATTTTGTGGAAGATTTGTCTGCTAACTCCATCAGTTGTGACTTTTTTCCCTGACATGGCTTGAAATTGATCACCAGATTTGGAATGCAGAAAACGCCGCAACCAAACGTACGTTAAGGGCCAATAGTTGAAACTACGTGGCATACATCATGCCTCAGCTGTACTTTAGTGCTAATTAGAAAATGCTAGCATGCTAACACACGTTATACCTGCTAAACACGAGCGGTTAATGTTATTTAAAGTATGATAGCATGCTGAGGTTAAGCATGTTAAGCATTTAGCTTAACAGGCCACAAATCACACTATTCCTAACACTGTTCTGACTGTATTGATACAAATGTTGATCCATGACCTAAAATGTCAGATACTTTAAGCTAATGACATCTCCCTCTAGTTGATCTTTGAAGACAGTCATAAAATCTGCTTTTAGTTTCATTCCTTTGATGGCGACCGTAAACCAGCAGAGTGATGTATGGTCATTTAAAGTATTCCCCTGAGGGAAGAAATCAATCCGACTTTAAACAGTACTTCTTACAATGTTCAGAATGGCACATGTGGTTACATCAGTTGAACAGGACTGTGAGAAAAATCTCATGCTGCCATTTTTTTCAAACATACAGCCAAAGGTTGCTCAATATGGCTTCCTCTCCTCCTCCACAGACACTCGCACTGACTGACAGCACCGACAATATAAAGAGAGTCACATCCTGGCAGTGGCCGTTTATCCTCTGAAGAGGAAGAACGCTGCAATCCCCTCACCCTAGACCAGAACTTTACATCACAGCCTCCTTAAACCGCCCGAAAACTGTGGACAGAAGAGATGCGAGGAAAAAACAACTCTGCAGCTCTCCCATCATGCCTCTCTGCACTCACAGCACCGCGTTACTACTCTGTGGTATGGACAGGCACGGAGGAGGATTGGAAAGAGCAGAAACACGTCTACTTAGCATCTTAAAAGATTTATGGCGACCTGCAACAGGAGGGAAAGAAAAGTGTAAAGCGGAGGATGAAAGATCAGAGAAAGGATAATGGAAGAGGAAAGCTTAAGGGGGGGGGGTGTCTGTGGGAACAGTTGTGGCTGCAGGTAAGAGGGCAGGAAGGGAGGCTGCACATGTGTAAACAAGGCAGAGTATGAACACGGAAGACAAAAGAGGGACTTTCTAAATGCGCCTTGCAGCATTTGTGAAATCCAACAACTTTAACTCTTCAGCAACGTGCAGTAAAATCAGCAGACAGATGTGATTTCAGAAGCCATGAAGAAAGTCAGGTTGAACATAAAATTCCCCCCTGGCTGCATGCAGCTCTAAATATATAAAATGAGCACACATGCGTGTACACCTAACCTAACACTTATCTGAGAACAAAATATAGGTCATCTCTTGATGGTAATTAGAGCTCTATTTGTGATCCCGATTTAGAAACCAGCTCAAGACACTTTTCTCATTTTGCCGATTATAGCTCAGATGGTGGCGAGCTAAATTTATGATCACGCATCAAAAACACCTTGAGAGAGTGGGAATCTGCTCACAGTGTGTAGCTTATAAAACAAGCTTCTCAAATGTGAGGATTAATGCTGTTCTGTTTTACATTATTGGAAACTGAATATTTTGTGGTTTTTGGACGGATGGCAGGCCACTGCTCGATTGACAAAACGATTAAATTGAGAGAAAAAAAAAGTAGATAAATCAATAAGGAAAATAACAGTTGGGTGCAGCCCTGCTTTGAAGTTTTAATACAACTTAAGTGTCTCTGTTCAACAGCTAGTCTAAAGTGGTTCCTGGAGCTAATAAAAAGCTATATTAGTAACAAATATAAAGCCCATCAAGTAATCACTTAGCCACCATGAGCTCTTACTCAATGGGCTTGCCAGGCCGGAAAATTAAAACACTAACAACGTTTTAGGGTTTCATTTTTCATAATTTAACAAAAAAAATATATAATTAGCTATTCTCTAAAGTCCGTAAATCTAATCTTAAGGGGACATGACGCCCTTTACTGTAGCCTAAAAGGGGAAAAGGGTAGATTTATGTAATGTATGACACTTAACAGCAGCAGTTATCATGATGATGCACACAGGATGAGTGGAGAAGCGTGCAGTAGACTGCAGAGCAGGCTAGTCCAGTGGTTATGAAGGCACGCCTGTCATCCGAGCTTACGTTCCTGTTCAAAAATGTAAAACTGTCCCAACCCTGTTCCAGAGTCTCTCGAGTATGAATCTCCTCAGATCTGGGGTCTGTAAGGGAATTATTTCCAACCAATACTGGGGTCTGATGTGGACTCATATGGGCGGGAAACTAAATCAAATGGAGCCCAGCTGTGATCTGAACACAAGCTGCTGCCAGGTTGCACATTCATGAGTCAGCTGGGCTCTCTGTCAGTCAGACCGCTGAGCAAGACCTCATCAGAGGGGAGGGGCACACACACACACACACACGCCAGGTGTGTGTGTAACAACAACTGCTGCTGTTTCTACATTACACACTATTCTAAAAAAAGAACATAATGTAACGAAATTCACGTTTTTCACAACTCCGTGCCAGCGTTCTACATTCGACATTCGAACGTGTCAAGATGGAACGAATGTGTAAGAGCACTTCCGGTACAACTTTTCATAATAAAAAACAGTCAAATAAAAAGTGAAGGTAGGAAGAGTACCAACATTACAGCTGCAACAGTTACATTTAATCATTTCATAAAACTGGATTAAATATTTTAAAAATGTCTATTCTAATTTCATGAGACTGTGATAACCAACAGTCAAAATGTGTTTTAATTAATAAAGAAAGGCAGCAACACCTTTAGCAATTAACAAATTAGCTGGTATTTCCTGTCCATCCACTAATCAATGAATCAATTATTCATTTCAGGGCTAACCAGTACACACACACACACACACACACACACACACTTTAAGAGAACATGAATAAGTTATAAAGCAGTATGATGAATTGGGATTGCTGCAGGAGCTTTTCGAAATAAATTGGTACTTTAGGGTGAAACTGTTTGATGTAACAAATAGTTTGGAAAACTTCTTACGCCCATAATGTGAAACCACTTACAGGCTACAAAACAAAGCAAACAAAAGTGCATTCACCAATGCCTTCAAGGCTTTACAGGAATTGTTTGCAGGCAGGTGTGGCTGCAGGTCAACTTTAAACAGGTCTACTTGTGAAACAGGTCCCATGCGATTGAATGTTGTATGAGCTTTTTGAAGTAAACTGGTACTTTAGGGTGAAATTAATATTTGATAGTAACAAATAGTACTGAAATCTTCTTCTGAAAGCACTTCCAGGCTTTAAAAAAAAGTCACATGTGTGCCTAATTTATTATCCTTAAATACAGTTTTCCTCACACATTACTCGCCGTAAGATGAAAAAGATGCAAGACTATGTATTAAAAATCTTTATAAATATTACACACATTGAAAACTATTCAGCTTCTTCTTTTGAAGGTCTCTGTCCTCAACTTCCCGTCTCTTTAGCGCTCACTGCTGCTAACTCGGAGCAGCTGCTGCTCCACGCTGACTGCGGCTCGAGCTGCCCAGCTGCCCGCCGACCTGCTGTCGAACGCGGCCACAACTTCGAGCTAACTGCGCTCTACCTCCTCACACAAGCTTCCATGTTTTGCACTGAACACAAACGACTGGTATTAAAAAAATAAAAATAAAAAAAAAACCCACTATTAATTATTTACATTTTTTTTAACCACCTGGGTAAGCTCGGAGTAATTTTCACCGGTTTCAGCCCCGGTGTGTTGGTGCTGACTCCCGCTGCTCCAACCGCACAGCCGACAGAACCAGTGAAAGATGCTCCGGCAGCGGCGTGCCACGACAGATCGCTGCCTCCCTAGATCCATATTTTAAAACTCCTGATAAACAACCCCCCCATCGTTTTAGGATAAGAATACATTAAAATGCTGCATACCGTTGACATCGGTTGACGCGGGAGACTCCTTCTTCTTGCGGGTATCAAAGAGGCTGTGCGGTGCGGCAGCTGCGGACTCTGCCTCCTCCCACCGGCCGCCCCTGGGCTCTGGCTGCTGGGATACTTCCACCGTCAAAAAAGCCCGGTTCGGTCCCACTGACTGACTGACTGTCTGCGGACTACTGCGGCTAGACAGACTGCTACACAAATACGATACTGAGTGGGCAGGGCGTGTTACCCCGCCCGTGGGCCCTCCCCTAGTCCCGCCGGTACACGCCGTTCTGTGGTATGCAGAACGAGAGTCACGCCAAATTTCATTCAAAAATCTGTGAAGTTAACGTGACTTGCTTGATCCTTGTTCTTTGACAAGTGGGAAGTAGGATTGTTTTTTCCTGAATTATCAAAATATTAAGTTCGGCATATGTCAAACACAAATATATATGTGTTTTTTCTTGTATCATAGGGGTTTCATAGTATACTTGTGGTGTATACTGGGATCCAGGAACAAATTTGCAGGCTGTAATAATCATTTTTTAAAATATAGCCTGAAAAACACAATTTATTGACCATTTATTTCCAGAAAAGCATGATATCAAATCAACTTGATCAGAATCAGAATCAGAATCAGAAATACTTTAATAATCCCCGTGGGGAAATTACTTGAAAGGTGGGTACAAGAAACAGGAAAAACAAGATCTCTAAATCTGAACATTATCCACGTTCACTCAAGGCTGGGATAAACTTTAAGTGTCTCTGAATGACCTGAAACAGTACACGACTTATGTCCTAACATAAAATGATCCATTGATCGCGCTTAAACTGAACCCATTTTTCATTCTGCAGCTTAAACATCACATTGGAACAGGCCCCTTTTTTTCTATTGACACCCACATAAAAAAAACAAAACCATGCAAGGCAGATCATTTGCCAAGTAGTCAAGTACCAGACATCAAACACCGCCTGTTACCTGGAAGACACTTAAAACTCCAGTTGGTGCCATTATTCCACATCTTACTGCTTTGATTATGACTCACAGTTTGTTTCACTGCACTTAGCTGAAGGGCACAGACTTTGCTTTGCACTGGAGTTGAGCAATAACTATAATATAATCAACAAAATAAATCTCTGTTCAGCTGAGTATGAAGTCAGAATGCCACTCAGTGCAATGGTCGAACAGGTTTGGCAGACAGTTCCAGATCATGTTTAATACGTCATCTACATGTGTGCATGTGCCCGTTGGCTTTCTTCCCAACCATTTGAAGGCGATGCCGCTTTAAACACAGTGGGTCAGAAAGAAGGCATGAAGAGCAGGCTACAAACTGGGCTTTGACCCACAAACCTCAAAGTGGCACATGGGAACAGGGCAACCCATTGCTTCCTCTGCAGGTAATCCTTGTTGTCCTCAGATGCATCCAACAAGTTTAAATTTCTTGCAGATTTCAGAGATGTTTGACATAAAAAAGGCATGGCTTTAACACTTTATGCATTATTTAGGTTGGAATAGATTACCAAGCATGGGACAATGCATGCTCAGGACTTTCTAGAGCCTGTTGCTCCCAAATAAGTTGATTATTTCCCCTGCAACTCTCAGAAAACAGACATTCACTGGAGATGCGTTTAAAGATCCTTTTGAAGCATTGTATACTCTGTGTTATCTCCGCACTGCAGTTCTTTACTGGCAATATGTTTGGCGTTGATGAGATGCTACGGGATGAAGCAATTGCAGTGAAGGGAGAACACAAGAGATGTTTTGGCGGAGGAGGTAAAGCAATCCATCAAACACTGCTGTGAAAATCTGAGTCATGGCTACTGTCAATTACATTACTGTGTGTGTGTGTGTGTTTTGGGAGATACATTAGGACAGTTTGTGGTGCTGTCAGACGCAACTGAGATCCAGGGATGTGGGCCATGCTGGCAAACAGTCATTTGTGCAGCTTGGATGAGTTTCACCTCATCAAACTTGCTGTAGAACACTTTGTCTGCAAAATATTCCTTATGATTTGATCCCAGCAGTGTATAAAATATTAGTTATTGCCTTTGAGTGCTATTTAAAAAACATGCAGAAGGTGGTTCTATCCTCTGTACTCCTTGTCCTTGGTGTGTCTTCAGGAAGAGCAGAGCAGTCTTTCTTCTCCCGGTGGATACATGAGCACAGCTCTGGATTGATTCACCCCTGTGGAGAATACAGGCACCAGCCAGCAGCTTCCAGCTGGCAGCAGGCAGCCCCGACCAGCGAGGCCTCTGCAGGAGAGCTTGTCGCCTCGCTTCTGCAGTGCTTCATCTCTCGCCCTGTGTTTTTCTTTTGTGTCTCTTTCCTGTCTGTTTGATGCATAGACCCCTGTATACAGGCAGCATGTAGACACCTCCCTAATGCCAGATATATGGTCAAATAAACTGCCATTTTGTTCACAAGAAGATATAACGGAGATAAGAGACCCACATAGGATACATTAAATTAACTTAAGGGTTGTTTAACTCTAAAATCCCATCTTAAATTAACCATGACACTAACTGTCATCTGTATTTCTCATGATTTTCTTGGGTATTGCAACAGGGTGTACCTGTGAAAAGCACAATACCAAGTGGAGGAAGTCTATACACCCATGTCTGATCACATAGTATTCAAATTGCACATGCATTAAAATATGTAATATTCTCCAGTTTATGAAATCATAACGTCACACTGGATGATAAAAAGAGGAAATGTCTCATTAATAACTTTATGTAAGTTCAACAATTATGAAACCAAGCAGCATAAAAATATAAGCCTGGTCTATACTGACCTCTGGTGGAGACACGGAGAATGTGCACACAGGACATTAAAGCATGGGATTTTCCATGCTAATGCCCCCATGTGGCCAAATAGGGACATTACAACAGTACAAATATTTTAAGAAAGAAGCTCTGAAGAGGTTTTAAAAAGAACTTCATGACAATTTTTGTAACACTGGTAACACCTTATTTTTAACCCCTGCCTATTTAGCATTTACAAACAGTATATATTTAATAAATGGGTTATTCTCTATATGGTAACTGTACATAAGGATATTTTAAGTGTTTGTCAACAACTTCAACTGCTTCTGTTACTGGTGTTGTTTGTTTAACATGTTCAAAAACCAAAGTGTAAAAATGATTATTTACGGTTTTACAGGCATTAGCTATTGCCCCCATTTCCTAAGCTAAGCTAACAGGCTACATATTTATTGTAGACATGAGAATGATAGTAGTGGTATCAAGAAAGCAAATAATATCTGTGTTATTTAAATACATGAATAAAACACTTAAAATGACCTTTTATCTGTTTACAACCACATTATAGTGTCTTATAAGTGAGTATATACTGCTTAACCCATGTTAAAGTAAAGTGTTACACATGCACATCTTTTATATGAACTAATATAAAACAGACACCCACAATAAATCACACAGCAGCATGTCCTAAATAAATCTGTCATGTGTCAAGATTCTCTTTTATTTTGACAGCGTTTCAGAATATCATACAGGTAAACAAGATTTTTGCAAAAGTTAATATATCCATAGTGTTGCATTTCATAAAAATAGTTGCTTCACTTACAGTCTTTGTGACCATCAATAGTACACTGAGTCATATTTATAGAGATATTTGTTCAGGATCTACACACCGCTAACACTACACAGTGATACTGAGCCGCTTGGGTGGGAGTCCATGGTGCAGCGCGTGCCGTTATTTCAACACACACCAAAAAAAAAAAAACCTCTAGATGTCTTTTTTGCTTTTTGCTTTCTGTAGAAAACTACCTACAATTTGGCTCAATGGAGACAGCTCAGATGAGGAAAGCAGTGAGTTGTGCAAAGGTTGAGCAAAAATACACACATTTTTTTTGTTTCTGCTTCAAACAAAAGTCACAAAATAAAAGGAGCAAATGAGCATTGACGGCACAGTATGTAGGCAGCATTTGCTACCTATAGTCTGACAGATGTGAAATTTAGATTTGGGGCTTAGTTTTTCGTAATATTGTCCCTGCGCTCCATCTACAAGTGATTGAATGGTTGAGCCTGGCTAATGATTTTCATCGACATAATAATTCACATCCCAAACTCCTCTGTGTGAGATTGTGCTTTAAAGTCAGGCTGCTTACTCCTTGTGTAATTACGGATCACAATAGCAAACATAATGACTTGTGTCCCTTTGCTCTTTTATTCTTTAAACACTGTTTGCACTTCCCTCAGCAGAGGAAGGAGAGGAAACCTTTTTGTTCTGGTATTACCACTTGTCGCTCATTCAGAGGAAAATTTACCACTCAAGAGTTTCTGCAGACGCTTTGAAAAGATTTGCTGACCTCAACATTGACCTTCTTTTGGCGTAAACCCCGCCCCTGAACCGCGAGTGTTCAATCACAGCTTAGCAACCGTAACTAGGTACTGCAGGCCTGTCAAACTTTGGATTTCTTCACATGTTGAAGCAGCGTGCGTAGGGGCAGTCGTACGAGCATTAGTCAGCAGTTAAAGAGTTTAATTAAGACATTTTTTTTTGCCTTTCCAAAACCAAAATCCACAGGGACAAAAGTGTAAGGAATGGATTAAACAGTGTGATTATCTGCTCTAATGTGAGCTGCAACCGTTATAATGTCTGACTAACTAGTTTACTAGCTAGCTAATGTTAGCAGTTCTATCCTGCTCTTTATTGGATTTGAAGTTCACACTCCAACCGGTGACCCGAGATAGGGTTATGTTCATCCTAAAAGACTTTCAGTACAGTAAAAACACACTGCTTTGAGAAATACAAACACATACGTAAGCTGTACAGCCACACGGTGTTAAGTTAGAATGAATAACAGTCTGATCTGACAGTTTTTATTATCATACTTAAAAAAACTAGGACTAACTCTACCCTGCAGTACAAGAGAAATGCTGTTTCTTTACTTCCAACTTTGTGCCTGGAACATGCAGCTTTAGCCTCAGTCCTTTAGCATTATGTCACGTATGTAGCCACCAAGTGCATATTTAAAACCCCTTTTTGCAAGATTCAGTAACATTTTATTTGTATAGCCCGCCTACAGATAGTTTATAGAGTATTTGTTACGGTTTTGCTTTGTCTGTAGATGTTTAAAAGATTATCTTTAGAGTGTAATGCAGGAACATACCCTAACCAAGATGTTTTTTGTGCCTAAACCTAACCAAACCTTAACCACAGAGTTGGACTCATAAACCGTGTAACCATACCGCTTTAATCCACGAGCTGTTCGATAATAGCCAGTGAAAGGTGTGGTGAAAAAGTGAAGATATCTGCTTACATCCATGCAATATATCCCTTTATTCAGCAAGCTTTCAGTCTATCTGACCTTCATCGGAGCACATAAAAGCTTTTATATATTGCATGGATCAAAGCGTGTGGAAAATCTTCACTTTCTGTTTGGACACGCTGACGCTTCCAGCACCTCAGAAAAGATGTAAGCAGGTGGAGCAGTTGTCACCCTGCACAAGCAATAAGCCGTTGAAATGTACTCTATAAACTATCTGTAGGCGGACTATCCAAATAAAGCGAGAAGCCAAGATGCTTGTTTTAAACGAGTCAGCCAGAGACAGTTTGGAGCCGGCTCATGGAGCTAGCATTAGTGTAATTAGCTAACTAGTTACAGCAGATAAAATCTGCCAGTGAGAGTTGTCAATGTCAGCCGGCAGCTAGAAATGAGAAGCAGCTTTTTGTTTACTTCTGTCTCAAACAAAGGACCCATTGTGTCGAAAATGATCAAGAACTTGGAGTTGTAAAATCTGCCATCGCTATCACTGTAAACCCAACCAGAGTGGAGAGATTGACAAGCATAGCAACAGTAACTAAGGGGGGGGGCAGAGTTTAGGGAGATGTCAAGTTGTATAAAAATTTACATGTGGACATTTATGTTGTAGCGCATAGCCTTCAAATTGAGTCAAATTCTGGGGCAGGTAATGTGTATGCTGAGACAAATGGAAATCTGCAGGGAGCTTTGGCTTGGAGATGTACTGCTTAATATCACACAGTGTAGACAGAATCACCTGAAACAAATCAAACTCAGCAGCTGATAGTGGCTGCGACAGGTGCAACCCCTCTCCTCAGTCGACCTGGAAATGATAGAAGTGTTTCATTTTGAAATTGAGGGCGTTCATTCATTCAGGTTACACGTTGTTAGGCGGGTGAGCTTTCGACATGTGAGATTGATTCAATATCAGATTTTTCGCTGGTTTAGTTTGGTTTGGGTGCGACGCTCTGCTCCGCGCTGACATCTGATTATAACATTCTTCATGGAAATTACTAGTGTCAGACCTCATTAAGAAATCAGTAATGAAAACTACCATGACCCAGAATGAACCACTTGCACAAATAAGGACCGTCAATACCTCTTGCTAATGGACTAATTTTCATACATAAGCTTGTGAAATAAATTATGTATTTCACCATATCACACTCGTATCTGAAAAAATACTGTTTATTATTTATATCTGTAGAGTTGGTGTTGTATAGCAGCCTGTTTTGAACCCCTCTTAAGTGTTTTGGAGTTGAACCTTTAACTTAAAGCCAACCTCTCTGTCAGTCTAAGGCACTCTGCCCCTTGGTCGGTATCACGCGAGCCTCTTCTTCTCAGCATCCGGCTGGACACCACCGTCGTGGATTGCTTAGTTTGTTAAGCACAGAAATGGGAAAAAATGGATAGACACGCCACCCCCCGCCACCCACCCCCACCCCGCTGAACTTGGGATGATTCAAGCGTGCAGTCGACCGCAGCAGGCCGTGCCGAGACCCCAACCCGCAATCACAGGGCCGAACGGGAGTGTAGAAGAGGGAGCAGTCGGTGTGGTGAATGTTTCTTATCCATGTTTGCGCGGGCTAGAATTTTCCATCGGCTCAACTAAGGTTCTGTTCATTAAAAGATGATCTTATTTACAAAATGATCCCACATATTCATATTCAATTATAATATATCTATGTCTATAATCATCTGATAGATTATTCAAGACAGATTCAGGCCCCATACAGTCTCTGTTAAGGCAAAGTTCTGTTGATGAGTAGATTTAATCTCCGCTGTCACTATTTGTTCCATTCGCTCTCGTCAAAAACAGGCAAACCTTCTTTTTTAACATTCCAGTTCATAAAACAGACTCCATTGTGAAGATATATATATATTTATATATATATATATAAAAATTCCAATGGCAACCGACAGTTGCTTCCTGTCAGTTGTTATATTTGCATGTTTGTCCCCCAGTTTTTGGGGAGAACTCAAAATTGAGTTCTTCAAAGTTTGTACCCCTCGAAGGATTCCCCGCCACGCTACACACACATTCTACTTGCTCTTTTTTTTTTCTTTTTAAAGTGGATGATTTTCCAGTTCTTAAGGTGGTGGGTGTAAAATATTTCTCAAAATAATTTAGAGTACAGTATCATAAATAAAACTCTAAAAACACGTGGTCCAGATCACCCTGCCCCCCCCACGTGGTTTTGACTCCATGGTCTGTGGGAGAATGGGACTGAGGGGGGATTAAAGGAGCACAGGAAGGTGTGGGGATGGTGGTTTCATCCAGATGGGGTGGTTTTAGTTCAGATGAGTGTGGCCACTGTACTCTGCTGGAGCCGCGGTGTTATCTGCTCAGCGTGGATGTGCCTGTGCGCAGTGTGCTGGGCAGCTTGTCTGATCCAGGGATCTTCCAAGGCCCAGGAGAGACCGTGGCCTTCCTCCCTGCTGCGCTGCCGCTGCTGGTGGTGCTCTTATTGGGCAGGCTGGGCCGGCTCTCTCCCAGGCCCCTGTCCAGTTCCCTGGGTCTGGGGTTGCTCTGCTCTGAATCCACCTGCTGCTGCCCGCCACTGTAACGCTCCACATCCCTGCTGTTCCCGTTAGTGTGTGGGAGCTTGGAGGCGCTGGGAGATTGGGTGGTTTCTCTGGTGTCCCCAGTATGTCTCTCCTTGGACCTCCCTCTGGTGCTCCTGGAAGGTTTGGGCTCCCCTCTCTGCCCCTCCTTGCCTCCTTCCCCCTCAGTAGTGGGCTGCACCCTGTGCCCCTTGTGGGTGGACCTGCCACCCTCCTTTTTAGCTCTTCCGCTCCCACCGGTTGTAGCCGCTCTCCTCCCCTGGCTAATCGGATCTGGATTTAGCAGCTCGGCCTTCTGGGGACTCTTTGAACGCTCCTTCCTGCTGTCTCCTGCCACCGTGTCTCGAGGGACGTCCAGAGGCGGCAGGTGAGGTGGGTCGGGGGCCGGGGCCAGATGAGATGAAGGCGATGACATGGAAAGGCTGTCGATGGGAGGGGCTACTTCCGACAAGCTTGGGGAGGCTGAAGGGCGAGCATCCCATGGGGCGGCATTATCTGGAACATACACATACACGCAGTCAATAACGGGGAAAACGCGCACACTCTGATTAAAGGCTTGCACACATGCCACTGCACAACCACACACTAAATCAAAACGAAAAAACAATCAACACAGCAATCATTCCTATTCTACAAGCTAAAAGCATTAAAGTAAATATCAGAGCAGCACTACAACCTACTTCCGAACGTGTCACAGGGCAACTCTACTTTTAGACCACATCAATCTGCCTCCCATAGCTCTCTTTAAAGCCCCGGCCAATCTAAAACCTTGGCGGAAAATCGAAAACAGGTTTAATGAAATGGATGATGTGCCCAATAGGGTGGTGCTTTAGCGAGAATGAAAACCTCAGGGGCCGAATGCCTCTCTCTCTCTCCCTTAAGCCTAAAGAAGTCTGCATCCAGTGTAGCAGCTGCAGTGAATCTACAGCGTGCTCCTCCACAACTCTCCACTCTCACGGACTGTTAGCTCCTGTTTCTGCACCAATGAGTCTCGGTCCCTCGTCCATCAGTCATTTTCAGCGGGGCCTAGGCAGGGGGCAGAGGCTAGGCTAGCTACACCAGCACCATGAGGCCCAATTATGAGCAGACTCTCACGCAGCGCTGGAGCGCATTAGATCCAGGACTAAGAGGGAGAGAGAGTACCTGGTCATTTCTAAGCATGCTGGGATTTCACACCGTCTTCTACCTGCAGTATGCCAGATACAATGAAGTGACATTTAGTGTGTGTGTGTGTGTGAGTACTGGTATGTGTGTATGTTTGACTTATGAAACCTATGATTATCATATGCTGTGTTAATGCCTGTTGTGAGCTCTGGTCTGCTTACATTTCTGCTGAGTCACCATAACACAAACTACATGTAGATTTGTTCTACATGAAAGAAGCAGAGAAAAACTGGACAAATTTTAAATTTGAACTTAAGCAAGAAGTGATTTTTTTGCCACAAGGGGGCAGCATAAACAAGCTGTAAAAACAATACTGACATATTATGACCTTATACGTTAATATGGAGAACTTATTAGCAAACAATTGTGTATTTACACATCTAGCAGGACATGGAGCGGCATTCATTTGGAGTCATCTTTGTGTCTACCTGATGAATGTGAATCCAATATTTACTCATCCCTTTTGTTCCTCTTTTAGTGCTTATATTCCACTATGTTCACCAGCTAGTTGCTAACTGTTTGTCTGCTGATTGGAGTGTAACGTAAGGTTTTGGAGCTTTTTAAAAAAAAATATGTAGCCATTGTTGTTATAAAAACATACTGCCACTTTAAATACTCAAAACACTTTTAATATAAGAGAACTCTGGAGGTGTCTACTTGCTGTTAATTACATGTTAAAGGGATTTTACAAGTCAGTTTACTAGTTGTAGACTAGAAAAGTGAAGTCTGGGGAAATTATACAAGTGACATTACTTGTGTGATTTCAGTTTCTGTACACATTTTAAGAAAAAGTTTGTCTTACATACTGGGGAGTTGGAGTGGGTGTTTACCCGGGATGGAACGTGTAACAAAAGATGAAAGTTGCATTATAGGAAGTGTAAGATCTAGTGTTTTTTGTGATTGACCCATAGTGATCAAAAGGGCTAAAGAAATCAGGACTAGACGTTATTATTGCATTGATTTTGACCATTCTTTATTTAATCTCTCTTCAGTCTCTTGTAGGCCCATCCAGCTGGAATTGCACTTTAATAAAAGAGTATTATTTTAATTGCTACTGGAGAGATTCAACATTTCATGAATTAACTGGAACTGGAAATCTTTTATGGAATAACACATCACAGAGAAAATATGAGGATTTTTATTTTTAAATGAAGAATGAGTCTGACACAGGTTAAATCCTCTCTGAGCATACATGTGATTAATTATGGGATGTCATTCTTTAGTTTGCTGTAGTGTCACTTTGATATAAGTAGCGAATAACTTCTATTCCTGTGTCGGTTTTGAGAGCATTCTTAATTTCTCAAGTGCAATTTTCAGGACTTTGTTAAATAGTGCCCTGGGGGTGCAGAACGCTAGATAAGAGGCACACAAACACACACAATGCTACACACAGACAGCCACACAATAATATTCATGCACATGCCCGCATTACACTGCTTATATTCTTAAATTTCTTTTGGTTTTTCATTTTGGGTTCGGCTTTTCCTAAAAAGAACCTGAAACAGAAACACCTCTTTTGAACATCAGTATGCTAATGTTTTAAATAGCCAAATTAATCACCATAGATGATTTGCATAACCTTCCACTATGCAAATAAATTGCCTGTAAACTACGAGTGATGAAATGCTGAATCAAGCCCACACAGAACAGAACATGTGGGTTAAAACGCTGCTTCTGCTTTTAGGCAGCAGGGGAACTTGAGAGAGAGAGAGAACACAAAAGATCTCTAATAATAAAGGACTGCGTCTTCTGGCTGACCACAGTAAGACTCCCTGTGTGCATATTTCAAGGCTGTAAAACAACCTCAAGGCGAGTATGACGAAAGCTCTCCACACAGATAGATTAAATCATTGGCTGGAAAGGGGTAGCTGGCAGACATGGGAAAACAACATCACCCTCGATTTCCTGTGTTTAAGAGTCGGAGGGTTACGCCAATGCCAAACGCTGATGAATGTGCATCACTGGGGAAGGCGGGGGCTTTAGTGCAACGGTGTTCCCTTAAAAACGTTCATCTCCTCTGGCTGACTCAGGGTGAACGCTCACTCATATTTTTGGGCCCCGTAGGTAGCTGTTGGCTGCCAATTTATCTTTCGGTCAGGAGGAGAGTTATGTTGACTAATTTTACAACCTCCCCGCAGCTTGAAGGGATATTTGTTGGTTATTGGCAAAATCTCCAGCGTGCCGATTTTGCACATCTTGAACAGGTGGTTAAACAACAAAACAACACACAAAACCACAGCACAGAAAGCCAGGGTTAAGTGAAGAGAAAAACATTCGTATGGTCACAAACCGTGTCTTTAGAGTGGCCCATTAGGAAGAAATAGGGGGAGCCATGCTTGTCACTTTTCATGCACATGGAGAGACTGGAAGATACCATTCCTATAGAAGGGGAAGTAACAACCTAGACCAATCAATTAGTGATAGGTCACTGAAATGGACAGAAGATAAACTAGTGTTAGTCAAGATAGAAGAGACAAATAATTAGTTGTTTTACAGCATAGTGAAATACAGAATCAACGAAGAACAGAAGTATAAAAAAGACAGAAGATATAACATGAATATAGATGCATGCTAGAACAGTGTTATCAAGAGTGATATTAAGACAGTGGAGAGAACAGTCTAAGAGTTAAACGAGAGTTAATAAATGATTCTGAAGACAAGGAAAGCTTTCGATTAAAGTTTCGCTACTTACCATACTCTGGGACCTGCCCTGTACCCCTCTTTAAGAGGAGACGAACACGCCTGCCTCCAGATTTGATCAGCTCGATGGCTCTGGCGTGAGTCATGTCCCGGGTGCTCTCTCCATTGATCTCAATGATTTGGTCCCCAACCTGGATGTCAAGATGTGTGTGAAGGAGAGTAAAAGGAGCTGTAAGAGAAAGTGTGTGTGTGCATACTTGGTTTTACTTTAGGTCAGCTGTGTTTTTTGATGGTCTGGATTCAGCCCCCTTTGTTCCAAGTAAAGGGAATCTAATGCTACACCATAGAGCGATACACTGTGCTTCTGGCTTAGTGGTAACAGTTTAGGAAGGACCCTTTCCTGTTTTCATCATGATAATGCCCCTGTGCACAAAAGAATTTCAGAGCTTGGTGTGGAAGAACTCGCACAGAGCTCTGACCCCAACCCCATGCGACAACCTCTGGAATGAACTGGAACGTTGCTCGACCTCAATAACGCTCTTATTGGGTAACAATAGAGAGCAAATCCCCATTCAAAAGTGTTGTGGAAAACCATGAAAAGAGTGTAGGCTGTTGTAGCAGCAGATTGGAAGATTATGAGTGAGTGAGCTCAACTTTGACAGGTGCGGCAACCCTGCTGCACACCTAGATTTAAGTGTTTTCTTTAATCTTATGTATTACATATTATTACTTAGAGCTGTGGTTGTCAAACTTAAAGCCTTTTTTCTTTCATTCCCCCACTCTAGAATCGGCCATGCCCCTCGACACCCTGGCAGAAACCCATCACATATTTATCAGTCACTATGAATGTTGGCAAAACTACTAATAAAACAAGCTGTTTTATTAAAATAAATGAAAGATTTTCAGGTGACAAGATCGCCTTCCCAGTATTAGTGCACATTTGTTTGTTTTATTGTCCCCAGATGAATCATATTCATTCAACTTTAGTTCCGCTCATTGTTTTCCCCTCCGGTCCATCATCATACTGTCAGCGTTGTTATGTGCTGTGTTTGTATGTTTTATTAAACTGCCAGATGGGCTAAAGACAATTTTCCACTCCGGTGAATAATAAAGTTGTATTCTGTATGCGTGTAATCCACTTCAATATATTTAATTTTTATGGTAACATTTTACTTTAACCTCCCCAACCCACTTATTCATAAGCAGTATATGAACATTTAATAAACTGTTACTGTTTAATCGTGAATCTGTCAACAACTTTAGCTCCTCCTGTGAACAGATAATGAATGACAACAGTGTAAATAACACAGTAATAGGAGAAGTTATAATTGTTGACGAATACTGTACATGAAATAAAACTCTCTAATATTCTTATAGCTGCTTACAACTACATTATAATGTGTTATAAACAGTTTATTGAATGGTTTATATAGTATAATATATTTCCTGCCTTCCACCTTAGGTTCTGCTTACAATCTCTTTATATCTAAAGGAAGCAATGCTTTCAAATAATGTAATATCCAATTTACCTGACTTTATTTGACTCAAGGTAAGTAAATTGGACATTATTTATTAATCTCCCTAAAAAAAATCAACAGAAGAGAATCGACTCCAGAAACAGAATCTTTCCATTTGTATGTAGAAATGATTGATAGAAACGTAATATTAGGTGCTATATTGCTCCATAAACCTACCGGTCGAGTTCACAAAAGGCGAAAATAAGATTATTCATAGAGATTAGCAAATGAACGGAGTTCGTTTGCCCACCTAAGATTGAGTCGATTATGATGTGGCAGGTTTGTAAATGAGCACCCTACATGTGAAATTGAATATTAACAAGCTTCTTTTATTCTGGACAACAGTGATTTATGAGGATCAATATGGATATATAATTCATAGGCTTTCCCTTGAGCTTCTGTAAGCGTTAATAGGCATTACCCGCCATGAACTGGTGTAATTAATTTCGGCAGTAATCTCGACATGTCATTTGGATGGAATTATGGCGGACCCCCTTCTCATGGGGCTGCTGAGGATCATATTAGGACACCCTGATGAATACCAAGAACCTGCCCGTTTATAATGACCACAACTGCAGCAGCTCAGTTAACAGCTAATGTAAGTATTAACTGGACTATCTCACCTTCCTGTGACCACTCCCTGATGTACACGAGGAAGGGTCAAACGTCAGTCCTCCCTCCTTCAAGACTCTCAGCTCTTCAACAGACGGCTGAGGCTCTGAGTAATGGGGAGGATTCACGGGGAACGGGACAAAACATGCCGCCCAATTACGCGAACAAATGGAGAAGTCCTCCGGTAATGGCCAGGGTAATTTGAAAGTCAGGAGCGGACTTGAGTCAAGAGAGGGGGGAGTCATTAGGTGTCATTACGGTGGTCTGAAGAGGGGTGGAAGGCAAGACAGTTCACTCATTAATCCTCACCTCCTAACAGCAGAGGAGAGTGATCTCCATTTTCATCTTTAATAAAGAGGGAGCTAAAGTTGAATGGACAGCGCGTGAATGTTCAGCGCAGGGAGGTGGAAATGAAGCAGGAGTTGCTTCTATTGCAATCCGCTGCCCACACACTTTTAGTGACGTTTTAAAACCTAGAGAGGTCATTTAATGTGCAGAATGATTATCTGTAATAACCAATTTATACAATTTCCTTAAAAGCTTCACTTGAAGATCGAAAAACCATGTTAGAATATGTTAGTGCTCCTTGCCAATGATTAGTTTGTGGCCATCAGGTTCAAAATACTTTTTTTTTTTTTTTACTTTTTACTTTTAAAGATGTGCCTGTTAAGGAGGAGTGACTTGGCTTGAACTCAGGACTTCAGAGAGACTGCAGGGAGTCATGGTGAAAGAGGGGTTTTGGTTTCAGCACCTTAAAAAACGTGTCAAAGCACCACTCAAATACAAAGTGACAGGCATGTCAAAAGCTTTTTAACCAGAGTCTCACATTTACTTAAGTTAAATGCAGATTGATTCCTCTCCGCGCCCGGCAGTATGGATCGAGGATTGTTGAAAGAGGGATCAAAGTGTTCTCTGCACCTTATTCTCTAAAATCTATTTAACAGCACAGTCTCTGGTTGATTTCAATATGCTACCAGCAGTGCTACTGTCTGGCCGTTCATCTAGGACTAATCAGACTCAGTGGAGGAAAGCAACTAGGTATATTTATATCTACTCCGCTACATTTCAGAGGGAAATATTTGTTCCATTAAGTTTATTTGACAGCTGTAGTCACCAGCTACTTGTGGATTTAAAAAAAAAATACGATAAGCTCACCCAATCGATCACGTTAAAACTCTGTACTCTCATCTCTGCTTGAATCTAGAAACTCGAGGCAAGATCTCAGCAATCAAGTTACACTGTGGGTAATACAGGTTTGACAAGGAAGAATATGTGGAGTAAAAAAGATTTTGAAAAAAGAAACTATCCATTGTTAGTTCGACAATGTTTTATGATTGCAATGATAATTAGGTTGAGTACTCTTTGAAAAACATCCATCCCAGTCTTTAAATGTCTTGTTATGACAGTCCAAAACCCAAAGAATTTCAGTTTAATGTGATATAACACAGAGAAAAGTAGGAAACCTCCATATTTAAGAGTCTGAAAACTGCATTTTCTGCCATTTTAGCATGAAAATCGACTATCGACTAATCCATTACTCGACTAATTGTTGCAGTTCTCACAGCCACAGGGGCCAGTACTTCTGCTTTTAATACTTAATACTAACTTTGCACCTTTATATTTTACTTGTAATGGAGTATCTTTATATATTATATATATATATATTATTATATTGTATTGGTACTTTTACTTTTCTTCCACCAGCAGCCACCTGTGTCTAGGCCCACTTGCCTCCATCGACTACACCGATGACAAGGGAAAGTAATACCTCCCCCGGGGGCATTTTGCACAAATTATCTTTGACAGGTTCATTACAGAAAAGAAATGTGGAGCAGACCTAGGCCATCACCTCCAGACGTACAGATCGGAAGAACATGCAAAAAAGAGAAAGAAGGAGATCAAGGAAGACGTGTTGGTTGCAAGATTCATTCCACATTGACAAACAGAGAAAAGCTACTGTGGAAGTTGCAATTTATGTTGCTAGCAGCAAAGCACATGAAGAACGAGGGGGGATTTACACAGCAATGCTGGAGTTGGAAATTTCCATAGTATTTTTTATTACATCTTTATAAATTCAGAAAATATGTGTCAGCTTTCTCTGACTGAATAGTACAGTAGCAACTGTAGCTAGAGGGAGAATTGTGTAGCTATGCAAACATTAAAGTGCAATTTAAGTTGGCCCACTTAAATGTTTTATCTATCTTTATCTTTCTGAATATTATCTGTTGCTGAATGCAGATAAAAGATGAGTTTTAGGAACAAACTCTCAGCTACAAAAGGACAAACCATCTCTGAGTTATTTTTGACAGATTATTTCTGAACCAGCTCTGAAAAGTTGCTGCTGCAGCTTTGATAACATCAGACAATTACAGTTAGCGTCTGCCATGTAATCCAGAAAGATAGAAAGCAGTTTAACCTCTAAAGGGGGTGCGGTGGCTTTCTTAAAGGAAATGACATCATCAAACCTACCCTCATCCTCCCGTTGCGGATGGCCGGCCCATCCTCGGCCAGTCGTAGGACAAACAGGTCCATCTTGTACTCCCGTCCTCCGCGGATGCTAAAACCGAAGCCTTTCACGCTTTTCTCCAGCTCCACTGTGAAGAAGTCAAAGTCCTGCGCAAGCTGAGACAAGCACAGATCAGATGTGATTAGATTCAGTGTTATCTGAGGAGAAAATGGACCACTACAGCAGAAAATAGTCTCAGGACTAAGCAAAGATAAATAAGTGAAAAAGAATGGAGCAAATGCAAGGTAAAACAAAAACAATAATCATATCACATATATGCCTTGCCAGAGCAAACAAGGCAGCGTTGAACTTTGTATACTCAGTTGTGCTAACACAAAAAACACCAACCGACATATTCGGGATATCAACCAACTCCTGAAGGAAATATGTAGCTCTTAAGTTGCTAAATCAGCTGGTAGCTCACCTGGTAGCATGTGTGCCCTATGTACCAAGGCTTCTTACCACAGCGGCCCCTCTCTCTCGCTCTCTCTCTCTACATTTCGTCCACTATGTTCACCAGTTAGTTGCTAACTTTATCTGCCATATGTTTGGTGTCGGGCACTGGGACTAAAGAACGCTGTCTACTGCTGGAAATGAGATAAATGACATATTGTGGGCCGTAACACCAAAACATTGAGCTAAAAGATGCTAAAATACCTGAAAGTAAATGTAGAGTGGGGTTAATAATTCCCAACAAGTTTCTCATTACACATTTCATCTGTTATTAATGTAAAAATATTGATTAATACAGCTTTAAGGAATCCTTATCTCCTTACTATTGATACTATCTACTATCCATGTTGGTATCAGCCTCAAAAATCCATTATCAGGCTCTAGATAAGAGTCTGTGAGGGATTTACTTTCTGCTGTGGGAAACATCCTTACTTGAACCGGTGGCATTCGATATTCTGGGATGGTAAACTGCCTGGCGTCAGTAGCTAGCTGTCGGTAGTCGAGCAGCGGCGGATGTCTGTAGTCCAACGTGGGTGGCTGCCTGTAGTCTGCCACAGGAGGATGCCGGTAGTCCACTGGCGGCTGTCGGTAATCTGTGAACGGCGGCTGTCTGATGTCTGGTTTAACATCCTGCCTCGCCTTCACCTCTGACCTGTAACTAACAGACCAATCAGAATGAAGGAAGAACTTCCAGGCAATATTTCTATTACTGACATTATTTACTTTGTTGTGTTTTGGTGCACTTAGTGTGCTGTGACAATAATGCTTTCTGACAAACTGCTAGGTCACCCAGTGCTGACAGAGAGGACTTGTTTGGGTTCGCGCTCACTACCATTAAACAAGGAATTAAACTGTTCTTTCTCCAACATCGCATAAAATGTTTATGAAAAAACAGGTTCTCTCAGAGGCTGCTGATGTACAAAGAGATTTGGATACTGTGTAGAGCAGAGGGGAAAGGCAATGACATTGTAGGTTTTGGACCCCTCTAGTACTTGGTAAAATATTCAACAGATCTCTATAAAGAAACAATTTATGTAAATTATTCAGCAGTCCATAAGAGTTAAGTGATGTTATACAACAAACTGGGGAGGGAGAGAGAGGGAGAGAGATGAATAAAGAGAGAAAAAGACAATGTTAGTGGGAGAAAGAGGAGAAGACACTATAACAAGAAGAGAATAAAAAAAGTGAGAGAAAGGTGGAGAGAATTGGGACGAGGGGATGAAAGTATCTGACTCACTCATACCTGTATTCTCAGAGGAACAGTGTTTTGCCCCAGAGACAGATACAGGGCTAGTCTATAAAAATGCTTCACTGCATCGCAAAATCAAGACAGCTGCAAATTTGACACTGTAACAGCTTTCATTATAACTGTTTATCACCACTTTGAGAAGAACTTGTCATGCTCTGTAACCTGGAATCCTCACAAGCCGTGTCTTACCTGCTCTCGTGGGTGTAGGTCTGCGGCGGAGGGGCAGGCAGCTGGGTCACAGGGCTCTGGTGTGGCATGGGGTTGGGCTGGCTGACAGAAGGGTTGGGTTCTGTCGCAGCTGGGTTCGGCTGTGACGCGGTGGAGATTGGCTGGATCTTCGGGCTGTGCTGCTGGGCCATGGGGCTCTGCTTCTCTGAGCTGGGCGCTGATGGGGGATTGCTGATCTCTGCGATTCAAAGAGAACAGAGCATGTGAAAAATCTAATCCCAACACGTACTTTTAAGCTTTATTTAACCATGAAAAAGTCTTCCTATTTATACATACAGCAAACAGGAAGCTTTCATTTAGAACCATGTTTCTGCCCACCTGTATGTAAAGTCCATTGCCCTTTTAGTTACAATTTAGTCTCCACCAACTCATAGCTGCTAAATATTTCAATGTTTTCCAGCTAGTTGCTAACTTTGTCTGTAACTTTTTTGCTGAAAATAGCAGTTCACTGCAGCTGGAAGAAACTAAAGATAGCAGTGAGACTGAACCAAATCAGTAAAATTGCCCTAAAAACACCTTTTAAGTTGATATTTGGCAAACTTGTTGGCAATCAGTTTCACTAATTTACACAACCAGCAGTAAGAACACAACATTAGCATTCATTTTCTTTCTTTCTGGCCTTGTGAATGTAAGTCTCTTTTAGCTCTATTTTTGGTCACTACCAACTTCTTGGGAAATATCTGGATGTCTAGATGCTAACTGCCCACTGCATTCACCAGCTTGTTTTTTTGCACCGTTACCACCAACAGCTGTCAATCAAAGGAACAGTGTGTAACCTGCAGCAGGATGCAAATCGCCTGCACAATGCCATCAAATGGAGACCCACTCAAGCTCCATTGTGATACTAATACTCAAAAACTCCATGTGGAACCTTTAAAATGTCCACGCATGGCAAAGCATACAACAGAGAAAAGTAGATAAAGGTAAGGAGACAAACTAACCCTCATTATCATTTAATTAAACAAATATGGTGTGTATTTTTTCCATCTTTTAATGTATACAATTTTAGTCTTAGTAAAGTGAGTCTTGGTTGCTTTAGTAATGTTAAGCCAGTCTTCTGTTTTAACTGCAACATACAAGAAGAAGCCCTACAAAACTGAAATCACACCCCTTTTTTAAAATAATATAGTCATTGTGTATTCTGTATTATTGTAACCACAATGAGATATAACAGCTCTCTTCAAGTGATTGCATGCAAAAGTGTTATGGAGTGAAGAAAATTTGCAGAGCGGAGAAACAAAACTCATGAATATGACAAGCGACAGTTAATCTAAAAAGAATCACATTTCACAAAACTCATATTACAACTTTCATTTAATGGAGCCAAATCAATTACTGTCATAAATCATTGTCTTCCCGAGGTATTGTGGATTCAAATCCTAGTCTCTCACGTTCCACGTGTTGTGTGTGTGTCCACGTGCTCTCTCACCTTCCTGTGGTATGATCCTCAGGGTGACGCTGAGGCCCGCATCCTTGATCAGCTTAACGATGTCGGCGTGCGGCATGTTGACGATGGACTGGCTGTTCACTGCCAGTATCCTGTCTCCTACCTTCAGCTTCCCGCAGCGGTCAGCCGGGCTGCCCTCGATAATGCGGCCAATTTTATGGGGCACAGCTGTTGGGAGGATTCAAACACAACACACTGCAGGTAAAGACGCGCTCAGCAGCAGCAGATTGGAAGATTATGCCTGTCTCTGCACACACACCACACTCACTCGCTGACTGACTGAATATGTCTCTGTCTCTCTCATTTTGCTATTCACCCCAGGCTTACGTAAGGCATCCAGGATTTTTTTTTTCTTGTGTGTGGGCGATGCACTGATGCTCACGGCGGCATACCACAGATGTGTGTGACTGACGTACTGTGGGAGGGCATGTATAATTGAGGAGATAGAAGGAGAGGTGCTTCACTTTTTACTGAGCCATGACTTCTTCTTATACTTAAGTTTGGCACTTATCTTGACACTATATTGTGTTTACATGGTAGTTTATACTGTATGTATGTAAGAGCTTTCATATGAGGTTCAGCACTTGATATGCAGAGTAGAGGATGACTGATGATACACAAGCATCCACTTGACTCTATAAACCGCCACTAAAACGATCACTGGACTCACTGTTGGTGGCCGCTGCTTCGGGCCGGTTGAGCGAACTGATGATGACGAAACCGAAGCCTTCGCTCTCCTTTCGATTGATGATGACATCACTGGGTTGTGTGTTGGGGGTCGATGTCCTGTCTGAAGCGGTGTTGGTGTTGCCCATGCCGGCGTTGGGTGCCTGGGTAGTGATGGTGCTGTTGCCATATGTGAAGTCACTGCGGGGGGAGCTGTGCTGTGTGGAGACAGAGCCAGGGCTACGGCCGTTCTCCGGACAGGACTCACCTGCACGGGGACAATTATCTGTCTGTAATATGTATTTTTATTCATACATACTTCAAATTCTGTGTTTTACATTGTGAACAGAAATGAATGAAAGGCTGAGATATGGACCAACTGCTTATATTTTTAAAGTTTTCTTACACCCCTTAAAATCAAGAAGGTCTCACGACCCTCAGTGGCGCTTTGGCAACCCCTAGTGGGGTTCCCGACCCCCTGGTTGGGGTAAATAAATGCACTTTCCACCACTGGAAAGATCTAATTGGTGGACAAACACAAGCAGCACTTTAAGGAGATTAAATGCAGCCTGTCAATCACTGTATCTTCGTTTTTATTGATTAAGGCAATTTACACACTCTCTGCCAAAAAAATGACCATTGGACACATAATTGATTTGGAAGGATCTAAGGGTAATTCAGCATGCGCAAAAACAATTAATTTTACAGGCGAGGGTACTTTTTATTCCTCCTCCTCCTTAAAAATCGGACGAGCCGAAGCTGAATCACATCCTCGTGAAAGGATAAAGAAGCAACAACAAGACAGCAAAACAAAACAGAAAAGCAAAAGCAACTGTCACAACGTGGTAAAACATATCATTAAAATGCAGCATCGTGTCAATCCAGCCAAAGCAAAAGCAGTTTCTAGCTTTTTTGTGTGTGTGCGTGTGTGCGGTGTGTGTGTGTGTGATGTCTAGTGTGTCTGTGTGTATGCATTCTGGCATACGGGGCGATCAAAACTCTGTGTTGTTGCTTTGATAGCTCTCTGGGATGCAGAGCTGTGGTATTCTGTAGTTAAACAGTTAGGAATTGAAACTCTAACTTCAGCTTACTGATACTAAGTTGCAGAGAGATTTGTCGCTGTAAAAAGGTCCATACCCATATTGCAGTATTTCCTTACACCAACAAGCTCACAAATAGTTATTTTATGAGGAGAAAAGTGGTAAAAAAAATAAAAATGAGAGAATGAATTGTGTAAAATGTGGGGCATGGCGTGCAGGCAGAAGTATGAGCTCAGAGCAGAGAGCAGAATCTGACACCTTGCAAAGTGCCAGTGGGAGTCAGACAATTAGGATGGAAGTAAGGGCTGCAGAGAGGCCAGGCATGAGTCAGAGAGTAGCCTTTGGTGAGAAGAAATTGACAGAGAGGGCGGAATAGAGTGGGAAGAAGTGGATTGGTGCAAGATTTAGAAGGGTTCATCCGTGTGTGTGTTTGTGCGATTACGTGTGTGAGGAGGCAGTAATAATGAGAACAGGGGAGGCCAGAGTTCACAGGAGGAAGTGCCATCGAAGGCTTCAGGCTCAAAGACAAAAGGAACTTGAATAAGGACCACCGAGCAACGGTGTGTGTAAGAGCAAGAGAGTGCTAATGTGGTGTTTTTTTTGGGGGGGGGGGCTTCAGTGTAATTACTCAGAGAGATTAGTGCTTCAGTTTTCCGACTGATTAAATGCTGTTTCCTGAATCATTACAGGACAAGAATCGTAGTGGCGAACAGAAAAGGAGAGAGAAACAAGAGGTGCAAGAACGAGGAATTGATGGGAGCACTAAGTCTGTGGAATCAATTCACTTTATATCCTTTACAGTATCCTAAAGCTGTTCTCTGCAGGATTAACCGTATCCACCAAAAATTGACTTTTTTAGTGAGCGAGTCAGTTTATCCAACTTATAACTCGGTTCAACCACTTAAAGGATAAGGCTGGTGATATTTTATATTTTAAAACTAACAATGTGTTAGTCCGTCTCTCAAAACTTTCTAACTTCCCTACTCTGTGTACTCAGCCCACTGGTTCCTACTGAAGGCATACAATTAAAACAGATCATAAATATTTAATCTTTAATTTTCTTAAAACAGCAGGGCACTGTAAGCTTTTGTTACTCAGACGGAAGTAAATAGAGAATTTTCCCACTATTTCCAGCTGTGGAGTAATACACATTTGGGGCTCTAGTGAGTCTTTACAGCAGCAGGTCGGCGTATGTTGGATCGACTAAAATACACTACAGTGTTTGTGTTCATGGTAATGAAGACACATTCCACCCAGTGCAACAGTGTGGCTCACTGATGTGTTTTTAATAGCGGTATATAATGGATAAGAATGGAGTTCTATGGCACAGAGGATACATCCGACTTTGGATACACACACAGTTCTTGTTTGTGGAATCAATTTATATTTGGTTTTGGTCTCTTTTTAATAACATCATTATAAATGATGATTATAAATGTATAAAAAGGTACTTCAAACATATTGGAAAACTGCTCCTACATGGAGGTGTATCAGTGGTAATTCACAGTGGGGTTTTAATAATGGAGCCTTTCTACACATCTTATCAATTCTAGCTGCCGTTCTCTCCATTACTAATAGCTCATTGGTTTACACTAATTAACTAACTATTATTTTTCAATTCATTTTTTATTGATACTACAGTAATAAAAAAACATTTATTAGTCAATTATAAAAACTACTGTGGATTTAAGTCGTGAATGTCTGATTTTAAAGAAACATCTTTCTAATTTCATGACATTGCTGCACAACAACAACAACAACTAAACAAAGACACACATCAACTCCATCTGTGTTTCCTCACCTGCTGCCTGGACCCTCCTCCTGATCACCAGATTCACTTGACCGTTCCGTGCCGCCCCGTGCATCAAGTCAATGACGTATCTGTGTGGCTTCCCCACCACTGGGATCCCGTCCACAAACAGCAGCTCATCACCGGGCCGTAAGCGTCCATCTAGGTCTGCCGGGCTCTTCTCGATGATCGCACCAATCAAGATCTGTTATTACATGCAGACTGTTAAAATACAGGAAGTAGAAGGTCTGCAGAAACTGCTTTAGATGTTGGTCTGTAAGTGTCACATGCAGTGGGTGTTAAGGTGGTTGTTATACTGATAAATAAACAGCTCAATAACGTGATTGAAATACTGTTATTGTTACTTTAACAGACAGCAAACGACACCAAAGCAGCCAGAGCCAGCACTCTCTCAGGGGTCAAAGGTCAGGGGTTAGGTATAGGTGTGTGTGTAGTGGGTTAGAGAGGAGAAAATGACAGGGTTCCACGCCCATCGCCATACGAGCCTTCTCACGCGTCTCCGGACTCACAGGCTGCCCAGCCTCATCCCCGCCCAGCACCCGGAAACCGAAGCCGGACTTCTGTCTGCGCAGGTGCACCTCGATGTCCTGGTACTCTGCTCCTGAAGCAACACGATCACAAACAACATTAAAGTCCTGTTCCTTTTTTCTTTTAAAGGTTATGGACAATTTGTTTTTTTAAATGTGTTCCTGCAGAGGTAAGGTTTTTACCTGAGGAATCCACAGGAAAAACCGTCCTTGGTTGACCAGGTTCTAGAAAAAGATACAGGAAGCACCCATAAACAACAAATGCACAAATGTTGTACATACACAGACACCCACAAATGCACACATTGGCAGACACCAGCAAACACACATTCTGTGTAAAGGCTAGAACAAGGCAGAAAGGCTCTGCCTCAGCATTAATGTCACGGCTGAATTTCAGCATCATCCATAAAAGTCAGGAAGTGCTTACAGCGTGTAATATACCCGTCCCTTATTTACAGTGTGAGGTGGGATGCAAGCACTGATCTGCAATCAGGGACTTCACACAACGCTATGATCTGCAAAGTAGCGAAATGAACTCAACCGCAGACAAGTAGCTGCGAATGAAAAATTGATTCCAATTGTAACTGTTTTAATCACACTGAGCACTCTGCTGGGACTCAGCAGGAATGATGGGAGAAAGAAAATCATGACTACAGACAAGAGGAGTGATGCAGCTGTTCCCACCGAAACCACATGCTGTGCTTCTTATAGAGATTTAGCTTGTTTTTGCTGCATTTTAAACAAAATTAAGTCCAATGACATTACAAAAGACATGCTTTTTTAAGTCACAAATGATGTGATTTTTCTATGTCGACAAAATAATCACACCTCGAGGTCCATTTACTAGCAGTTCTGAGCGTTCGATCAAATCACACGATCATAATCACCAGATGTACAGTAGTTTGTTCAATTGTCGAATAATATATAATAATATAATTTAAATACAAAAATTATATAAATTATAAGATGTGTGTTTTCTAAAGATGTTGACCTAATGTTTATGGTCCTCTGATTATATCATTTACTCAGCTGTGATGCGTGCCCATACTGTACCTGATCCAAGGTTGTGTAGATGAAACGTTATTAAGAAATAAACCACTAGTGAGTCAGTGCGGCAGTATTATGTTGACAACTTAATCTGCTGATGAAGATCATGTCATATGATGTAAAAGCTCCACAGCAGCTACTCAATGGAGATTGTTTCGTAAACTGCTGTTTCCAGATTTCAAATATCAAATATATCAATAGATTTTACCAAAGGTCAAAGGACACTAAAAGGAAAAAATAATATATTTTTTAATAACATCCATGCAGAAATCTACAGAAACAATACTTTTTAGAACCTCTGCATTAACCAGGGTTGATACTATATAAAACGACTTTATACCAATGCCAGCTCTCTCTCTCTCTTGCACCTTTCTCTACTTCATGAGGAAACATTTAAAGAGTTGGTTCACCCAAACAAAACACAAACATTTATTTTCACTTACCTCACTTTTTAGGGTTTATATGTCTCTAAAAAATATGCCATCCACAAACACCACATCTCTTTCCAGTACCAGTGTCCTGTTACAGCTTTAATAGGGACTATTTCTTCCGCAGGATTGAGTTGAAAACTTAAAATATCTGCCTCCACCACAAGGGGCAGCGAGAAAATATGTTTTCTTGTAGCCTTGCTGACCTGACCCTTTAACCCAACCTGTTTACATAAATGCTGACATTAATCTTTTGAGGCTAACATTAGCAGCTCACCAGGAGGCCAGCGGCCTGGGGGTTTTAATGCTGCCAAAAAAAAACAAAAAGGTCACAACCTCCTTCACCCACACCAGCCAGAGGAGCAAATGGAGCTTTCCAAAAAATCTGTCTGTGCCTAACCCCTGCTGAGCCTCACCAGACCTTGACTGAAAGGAAGACAACAGCGAGCGTACACTGATCGCCGTACCCACAGCTGAAGAGGAGGGAGGGATCCTGAGAGGTACAGAAAGACAAAAGAGGCTTTCTGACAGCCGCGTCCTCTTGAGTAACAGGTGACTTACACACAAATGAACACAAAGTCCTGTCTGTTAAAAACTTTGACTCTCTCATGTCAACCACCTCAAAGAAACCCAAACCTCTGAGAAAGCGCCACTCATTCTGACACAACACACACACACCACAACACCACGTTCATATTTGGAATAATATTTATGGCGATTAACTCTTGAAGTGCGCAAATCAAGTCTCTGTATGAATTCAGAAGTTTTATAAAACTTCTACTATTAATTCAGTTAAAATATGTTCGTTAGACTCAGTATGTTCTACTATTACTACTTTTAGGGCTGTAATTCAGTATTTCTGAGAATTTGGGGGTTTGTGTGGAGGATGTATGATATAATTAAAAGCTAACACATTAGTAGACTAACTATATTTAAATTTGACTACTTTCAGGCCAATAAATAAAAGATTCAACAGTATTTATTCCAGACAATATGGAGAATGCTTTGAAATGGCATTAAAGCATTTAGACTTTCACATTTGGAAATTAAATTTAGAGAAGATATAATTGGGCAACTAAATTAATTTAACTAATTTAGATAAAGAAAAAACTATGGAAATTCCATGCTACAGTCCTGAATACACATATACCCACACAATAGCACACATACTGGTTCCTACTGCCTAAAATTCCCACAGGGCATTAGAATTACGACACAGAAAAAAATGACTTTTTCCTCATTTTACAAGTCAGAGGATGGTAATATTGCTGGCACCAAAGCACCACGTCCTCAAAAAGATCATCTGCTGTGTGGAGTGTTTATTTATGTCTGTTTACAATGTGAGCTGGCAGAACGTCAATGTCTGGATGTAAAGATCCTTCCAGACGGTGAAAAGACTGAGCTGATGGCCGGTTTTGTTTGTGTGTGAGTGAGTGTGTATGTGTGTGCTTGTGTGGGCATTTAACAAGCACAGATCAAATGAGATAATATGAGGAATTAGTAGCTGTGAATGCTAACAGGGAGGAAATATAAATGCTAAACGTCTGATGATTGTGTGAAGATCTTTCAGTTGGATTCAAAGAGATCAGCTCATTTCAGTTTTCTGTGGAGCAGCAAAAAGGTGAATAACAAAAGAATCTGTGAGTCAATTTGTGTGTTTGTGAGAGAAAAAGACCTTCACTACTCCACCTTCCAATGAGGAGTCCATCTTTTCTTCAGTGCTAGAGAGGAGAGTTTGTCTACACCTGCAGTATCAGCTCTGGTACTTACGCCTACTCTCATAGATAGCCCTGGACTTCTCATAAAGGTCATAGGGGTCTGGTTTTGCCAGGGCCAAGGCCTCGGAGGCTGAGTCTGGGACCGAGGCCCTGTGGAGATGGTGGGTTGGGAAGGGGGCGCTGTGTGGGATAACGGGGGCTGACAGGCTGGTCTGAGCAGGGCTGCTCTGGCCCTGCTGGGACTCCCACTGCTCCAGCACCTGTAAAGCACAGCGGCATGAGGGATCAATATTTCACTACCACCTTTCCCACTTGTGACACTCGATTTTAGCTCGGTAACCATGAGAAAAACACTAAAAACTGAAGCAAGAGTTCGCTTTAATGAATTTTGACCGTTCACTAATCCCCCGCTGCCCTGAGCCTGCTGTCACTGCTCCTGTCAAGCGTTTGGTTCTCACACATGCAGTTTGCAATCTTCAATTACAGACAGAGGTAGTGACGACTGTTCCTAGCTGATTTTATTTGCTGTAGCTAGCTCCAGAAGCTGATGATAGTGGTAAAATTCTGTTAGCCAGTCAGTTAAAAAATCCTGTCTCCAGCTGAATTTTTTATGTTTCCATTGGATTTATTTAAAAATGAAAAGCCTGTAAAAGGACCAAAGTTATGCACATGATGGCTACATACATGCTTAATAATTGAGGCTACAACTCCCAAGGCAAAAAGTCACCATCTTCACTAGCTTATGATAAAAATGCAGCAGACCCCTCACCAAAACCAAAAAAAGGAGAGCACATTATTCAGCTTCTCTTCACTGGCTCATTAATACATTTAAAAACTGATTTTAAGATGATAACTTTCATGGCCCAGCTCTGAACTTGCAGAGTCACACGGTCACAACCTGAGAGGACTAAGGGTGACCAGGCCTTTTCTGTTAGGGCTCCCACTCTCTGGAACAACCTCCCAGAGGAGATCACACTGAGCTCCTTATCCTCTTTAAATCCCTCTTAAAAACATATTTTTTACAAGTGCACTTTCACAGGATTTGAGATCGGAATTCTATTTTATCTGTTGAGTCACTTCTTAAATTTTACAAAGGCACTCTCTCAACTCTTATTTCAATTACTTTACATTGTTTTATTTGACTTATTTTACTCTTATATGTACCCCCTTTTGCTCAGTGCTGTATAACTGTTATACTGTCTAAATGATTGTCTACGGTTTTTATTTTGACTTGTGAAGCATTTTCTTTCTGAGAAGTGCTATATAAATAACATTTATTATTATTATTATTATTATTGTAAAATAGACACAAGCCTCCAAACAAATTAGCTCTATCGTCCATGTTACAAAGTTTCGGCATGTGGAGAAATCCAAAGCTTGACAGGTGGCTGATGAGTTCTGACTGGACAATCGCCATTCGGTGGAGGGGTTTAGCGAACGTTCAATTCGTGCTCGACAGACGGGAAGCCAGACAGTTAGTGAGGTTAGTAGTTGGAAGGAGAGGAAAACATATAGAAGAATGTGATATACAGGTAAATATGGCCCTATTTGGAAGGGGGTTTGAGGATGACAGAAACTCTGGTATCTTATTATTTCAAATTGCATTGTTTTTATAAGGTAGTACATTGTATATTATATTCAATTTGCAATTCAAGATTCATCCAAAAACATATTTGGAAATGCGCTGTCAAGTGTTTGAGGTGACACCGGCAGTTTTGACAACACCAGTCAGTCAGTGTCAGCCTTGATGTGTCAGATGAGCCAGGCCGCTTGAGTCACGGCACGACACTAAGCAGATAGCCAAGATGACACGTCGACATGTCAGAAAGTGTGACAGACGGATCCGGAGGGAACGACAAGCTTTTTGAAACTGAGACGGCGAGACTGGCTGCATATGGCATGCTTTAATATTGAGAATTACAGGGCATCTGGTTCAAGATGTACCGAGAATAAATATCAGCTTCATAAAAAGCTCTGGAATCAAAAAGTGTTTCCACTCTTTGTGGTTTCATTCGTGTCTGCCATTGATGTAAGGCACGTCTGCACAGGGCAGGCTGCCGAGGCTGGGGACCTTGTTAAGGCTGGGATTAGACTACTGCATCCTGATCTCTCTTTCACTCTCTGTCTCTTTTAGTCTGTTTGATTAAGACTGTTGAAGCAAGTACTCTGGCTATAATCTAGTTGGTCCGCTGGAAAGAGGACACTGCAGGCAGGGTCTCCTTTATAATCCAGGATTATTGAATAAAAACACCTGCACGTGCTCCAACATTAAGCACCTACCCACCTCTCAGTTACCTACGGTATTGGCTGGATTTGACAGACAAATCTCGATAAGCTCATTTGCAAATGAAACTCTCGAGAGCTGCAGCCTTTGCTCAACTGTGGGTCGATACGACAATTAGGTGATTCCCCGTTCTTCCCTTATTAGTCAAATTCCTCCATATTTTATTCTCAGAGCTGCACAAGTCTTCCTGTAACAAATGATACCCAATTAAACCGAGACTGAACTCTAGTGTGTGTTTGGGGGGGTTCAGGAGCTGGGGGAGAGGGGCCAGGCGGGGTGGGGCAGCCAACAAATGAACACTGGGGGGGTAAAGACGAGCGATGTGAACAGACAAGACACGAGAGAGAGGTTCTGCACGCTGTATGCTACTTGGTGACGTTCAAAGCTTTCCCCTCAGAGCTCAAGAATTACAATTATTCTGAGGGAGATGGAGGAGATTGATTAAATCGTGAGGGAGCAGAAATGAACAATGACAGGGATTTCAGGGGACAAATGTCTTAACGGCCACACAATGGAGGTTTTTTCCTGTGTTAGTTAGTTGCAATCCGGAATGGGGACAACATGAGTCGGGGTCAGGGTCTGGTCAGAGCAGCGCCGGGAGGACGTCGAGGCATGAAATGAATTACACACATAGTCGCACAAAGGGAAACAAAGAAAGATGGGCAGAAACACTCGTGTGCAGGCATGTGAGTGTGACAAATACACAAAAAGACAAAGTGTATGTGATCTAAGTGGATGTTTGGTGGATAGTTTATTTTATTTATTGGATAGTTTGTCCACGGGCAGCAGATGATACTATAGTAGAGTATTTATGGCGGCAGAGGAGGCAAGAGAAGAGGTTAAATGCACGTCTGCAGAGATACCACATGAGGGACAAGAGGAAATAAAGGCGAGGTGAAAGATAAATGACCATGGAGCAAATGGAGGGTCGCATGAAAGTACAAAAGAGCTTTTAAGATTGGAAAAATGGTACAAAATGAAGATAAAAGAGGGATGAAAATGCATCTGAGCCATGCCAAAGCAGTTAGAACAGAGACTCAGCAGCTCTATAGCTGTAGCATAACTCAAATGCCCTGAATGTGGATAACCCTGATGGCACTGAGTCAGGCCCATGAATAAGCTCTGACTTGCAGGTTCAAGAGTCTAGTGATATTACGAGTGGGCTACTTGACCTTTTTGCCATCCTGTGACAATAAAGAAGGGCTGAATATCGAGGTGTTGTAAAAGCCAGGGACATATTGTGAATCATCAGTAGAGTTAGTACGGCGAAGGAGGGACTAAAAAGTAATTTTTAGATCTTAAAAACGTTTAAAAAATAAGATTAAAGTCATTCTGATAAGCACATATATGCACACTGCAGCCACTGGTACTAAAGTGAAAATTTACTGTATATTAATGATTAAAAAGCAGAAATGGGAAAAGTCCACGTTCTGGAGGCTGGTGCATGTTACCTGCTTAGGGGTCTTCCAGGGTGAATAGTGACCTGCAATGTTGAGAGAACAAAAAAATGCTTTAGACTGAAAAAGATGGTAGGAAACAGATCATGAGGTGGGAGGTTTGATTTCTGTGGATCCAATTCCAGGGGATGTTTGGAGATAATAAAGTGAAGGAAAAAAAAACACCCAGTATCAACAAACACCCAGTATCAACAAAATTATAGACAAACCAAATGAAAACAAGAATATGACATGAATACAGCGTTTGTGAATGGTAGAAAGGACAAAGGAAAGCACAATAGACTCAAACTGGATAAAAGCACGAAGCAGAAGATGTGATCAGCTGGTGTTTTTTTTTAAAGGCAATGATGAATTAATCTTTTCCTTGTGCGTGTTTATGTTACATTTTGAATTTTATACACCGAGAATTTTTTTTTAAAAGCATGAAAATGAATATTATATTAAAGCTGCACTAGCAATTTTTTTTTTTTTTGGGGGGGGGGGGGGCACTTGGGGGTAGTAAACAACACTGAGTGACATATTATCACTTTTAATGGAGTAATCCACCGATTCAGCATTGCACTTTTTAATACTGATATAGCAGAACCAGTGAAAAGTCTTCTTCCTACAGTACCCACAATGCAACTCAACCGCCAACAGTTCATATGGAGATTCAGGCATGTTATGCTCATCCCAGGTAACTCAGCCTTGAACTGTGAGCCTCTAGCAGACACAAGGAGCAGGCTACAGAGGTCTGGTAAGCTCTCTCTCACTCTGTAACACCCCCACAGATTTTTTTTATTTTCAAACTTGTAATCTCCAGACCCGTCCGATGCTGACTACAGTGGGTCCATCAGAGCTTTCTCGCTGAAAACACTAGTGAGAAGAGTGACTGACCCAAAACAGTTAATAAAGCTGCTATTTCATTTTTTTTTTAATTTCCCTTCCATCTATCTTCACCTCAAATTTCATCAAATTGAGCATTTATTATGAGGACTGGCTTTCTGTTTTGTTTGCGAAAGGGGACATTCTGTGAATCCAACTGAGGCCTCTGTATTGACATTGAAAAGGCAATAGGCTGTGAGAATGTTTCACTTAAGTGGGTTCAGGTTGACTGTACCTCACAATAAAGTGGTTTCAGTTTGTATTGCAGCGCAGCAAGGTAAAGGGCACACGTTTTCCTTTGACTTTGCCATTCATCCTGCTTTGACCTTTAAAAACATACGCCAGACTTTTGCTGTTTACAACATTGTTCACGCACAACACCCAGAAAATCCATCTTGGAAAGATGAAAAAAAAAAAACAATCAGTAAAAAAGCACAACAGCAGCAGCTGACAGTACGTGATACATGCATGCACACACAGACAGCAACCAATATATGCTCCAGCACTGTATCTATAGTCAAATTCACAGGAGTATGTACAGGAAAAAAAAAAGGTGCACACTCCATCTTCCTGATTCAATTTCTGTCCTTCCTGTCTTTCAAGTGCTGCCACGCTCTCCCCCTGTGGGACGCTACAAGCATATGCAAATGGAGGTATCGAATTATGGGGGTGACTGCTCGAATTATGCACAAGCCTTCCCAGAGCTGGCCTGGCGAGACTCGAATCGCACTGTAAAAGCATTCGCCTTGCTGAGCCGCAAGTGGAATGGTGACAACATGGAAATTAACAAAAGCTATGCAAAAAAATACAGAAATGTTTCTCAAACTGTCAGCATCTCTTAGTCAAAATAAACAAATAGAGGCACAAACACAGCTACAAGAGCTTATCTAAAACTCAATTTCACTGTCAATGTGCATGGGGACATTTTATCAGCCAGAAACAAGAAAGAATATTTTAAAAAGTATGATGACAGCGAGGCACAGAGGGGATGTTTTTCTTTTCATGCCAAAGACGGTCAATCAATGAATGGCTTTCTGTCCAGAATACCTACATCTAAGTGAGTCTTAAGGACACAGCGAGCAAAAGAGGGCAACAACAGAGCAGTCCTCAGTGTGGGTGACGGAACCTGAGCTGAGCCGGACAGACAGAAGAGAAGGACACTACCAGGCATCACTGACCGAGGTGATCCTCAGGGTAGAGTCACTGCTAACTCAGGCGTGCCAGACATTTAGTTTAGACGTGGGTGTCAGAGTGCCCCATGGCTAAAAGTTGAGAAGGGGCCGAGAGACAGACAGAGAGACTGAGAGAAAGAGAGAGAGTGTTAGGAGCTGTCCGTGGTCCTGAAAGCATTGAGCCTGAATGCTAACCAGACTTGTCAGCTCGGCAGCAGAAAAGTTACATGAACTCAGTGGTGTCAAACTTACACTTTGGTTCTAAGCCGACCGGGGTCCCGTGCCTTCTGTGAGTGTCAACCTTTTTGTGGTGCAGGCAACACTAGTATAACACCAGTAATGATGACAGGATATCTCACTTATTCTGGCTCTATAATGAGAGGGCAAGAGTCCCTAAATCCATAGTGTGTGATTGTGTGCCTGTGCATATGTGCTTCACCCCCAACCTCAGCCCTGGCATGACTTCAGACGCTTCAGACACGTTTGGTTGAAGTCGTGCCTCGTATTCAATTTCTGCCCAAAACTCAGATTAAAGAATTCTGAACTGGAGGTGTTTCCAGAGAGCCTTTTTTCCGCTCCAAGGGTGCTGAGTCGTCTAGTTCCTCCAGCAATAATGGTGCCTGGTGACTCAATGCCAGCGACTCACACAGCCTTTGCAATGTGACAACTGAGAAAAAAAATGTGGAATGATTGTGAGTTTAGAAGTCAGGAAACTTCAACAAACTTTTGTTCAAAGTTTTGATGCAAAAGAAAGCAATAATGATACAAGCACGTATCAAAATTGATTAAGATGTTATTAATACGTTAAAACTTTTTTACATTCATGGAAGATAATAGCTGAATGCCTATAAAATAAGCGATTTTGTTAAGATAAAAATGAATTTATAGAACCATTAGTGCCCCAAACATTCCTATTAGATAAAAAAACGTGTGCACACATCCATAAAACTTAAAGTTATCTTGTTCCCAAAAGGTAAAAAATATTCAATATTACCCATTACTATATTCATTATAAGTTTGTTTAAAGCCACCTGTGGCTATGGTTTACCAAAATGTGATTAAATAAAAACGTACATGTGTGGGCAACAAATAAAACAGCCAACTGCCAAAGGTGCGCACACATCAACACACATATAAAAACAGATCCCTTTAATTTAACAATGAGAGGCTAATACTAGCCCTCCATTTATTAAAATGACACTTTGATGACACTAGAATTGATGGCAGCGGGTATGAATCTTTCAGCCCTTTATGAATATGTATCTCCATCTATTCCCTTTCCATGTTCGCTGGATGTTCTCGAAACCCAGCCTTTTAGTAGCAAACCAAATAATTTGAAAAGGTGTACGGTTGAATATGCATGATATTAAAGCTCAAAACAGCACAATTTATTTAACCGTGCACTCACTGGGTAATCACTCCATCCCATTAAAGCTCAAATAGGAGCGCTTGATTTGTTTAAAGAGGCCACGAAGGTTAGTAATTCTGCTCCTCCCACACACAGGGAGGAGATGCAGAGCCAAACTTTTGCGTGATCTAATGTTGATGGCATTAAGGCTAAAAGACATCATCTTTTGTTTAAGCCTTTCTACTTCTGCTATGATCTAATCTCAGCATCTTGCCCTTCAGACACCGGGCCCTTGGCTGTCTTCCCGGGGGCCGACCGGACGGGATATTGATCCCTGGCGGGTGGCTCCTCCGGGTCTGGAGCTGGTGGGGACAGAGCTGTAAGTGTGAACATGGCCGACAGTCTGTGTTCTACTGGCAGAGAGCCGAAGTCATCACTCCCCTGCTCTCTCCTCCCTTTCTCTTTCTCTCTTTTGTTTCCAACTATTCTATCGTGCACACACACATCCAATGAATCACTGTCTAGTTACACACCGATTCCCTGGGAGGCTGGAGGAGGCACAGTGAATCAAACCCTCCTTCTTTTCTTTCTCTACAAAGCATGGTTCTCGGAGCGGCCTCTGGTCATCCGTATGCACACGACGGCTCTCAGGTGAAAGGTCACGCCAGACAGCTGATTCATAATGTACAATTTACCCATGACAGTACTAGAAAGGGGAGTTTACGTAAGTGTGCGGGGGCTTGTGTGCAGAAGGTTGCCTTGGGATGTGTGCGAATAAGACGAGGAGAGTGTGTGTGCCTGGCTGACGTGTAGGTGTGCGTACAACCTGTGTGAATCAAACCATGTGGCCCAGCGCTTGTGTGTGAGCGTGTGGGCGGCCGGCAGCGAGGCGACTTAGAGGAAGCTAAATGGGCGAGCGTACATGTGAACGAGCTGAAAGTCTCTGTGGCTAATTACAGCCCTCCGTCTCTGCTGGTGTGGCAACAAGGACACAGCCTGTTAATGGTCTAGATAGCCACTAATGAGGCTGTCTGCCATGCACACACACACACACACACACACACACACACACTGGCACACGCACACATAGGCACAATAATTACGGGTGATGAGAGACAGTGTGCCCATTTGTTAGCCAAAAACGGCTCAGGAGTCAAACTCAAATTTAAGGGATGGCTAAATATCATAACTATATTATGAGCGTGGGCTTTTTGAAGGTGATAGAGCTTAATTGACTGCATGGTTTCATCATAAATGGCTCCGTTTTTGGACGGCGAATTGGCGGTCAGCTTGGCTCTGATGTGTCGCTTTTGATGGCGAGTTTTTTGAAAGTCATGACAAATGCCAGAGGGAACTTAAAAAAACTAAAACCTGTTTAGTAAAAAAAAACCACATCATTACAATGACAGCCAAAACATAATCATTTGTAGGGCAGTATCACCAGCTGACCACAGTTTATAGAGTTAACTTAAGAATAAAATGCTTCCTTTAAAGGAAAAGTTTGACATTTTGGGACATACACTTATTTGCTTTGTTAAAGAGATACCACTCTTAAGTCTGTACGCTACATATGAAGCTACAATTGGTTAGCTTAGCAACAAGGAGAAACAGCTATCCTGGCTCTATCAGAAGATAAACTCTTCCTATAGAGCTCCAAAGCTGCACAAAAAACACAAAAAACACCCATGCAGGTTATGTGCTGGATAATGTTTATCTCCACTGGTTTCTTATCAGCCACACAGTGACTTATGACTTACATATTGACTGCTTGGTCTAATTTAGACCTGTTCGAGACATCTAAATCACTGAACAACTGATGGCTCTTTCTACCAAATCAGAGCTTGACAGGCGGGATTAGGAACGGGTACGTCATCTTTGCACATAGCTATCAAGCTAAAATAACCTTAGAAGTGGATTGACGCTGAAGTTAATTGCAGCTTCTCTGTCAACTAAAAAAAGCCGTCAGCATGGCGGATGACTCTCTGCTGATTAGGGCAAAACAAAACAAAATAACCTCCACTGCCAACAAGAAGTGAAACAAAGTGGCAATTCAGCCTGATTATCAGACTAGGTGTAATTATTACAGTGCTGAAATAATTAGCTGATTAATCCATTAGTTATGATGTGAGTCTGAATGGGAGGAATATCTTCTCTTTTTCCTTCCTGAAAAAGATGCTGAACACTGCCTCACTTAGCTCACAATCTTCCTTTGCAACAAACTGTAGCCGCCGCTCTTGTTCGCACGCAAACTTCTGAATGAAAGAGCACATCTCCAGATTTCTGTCTGCAATCAGATGCAGCGATGAAGACAGTAAAAAGCAGTGTGTTAGAAGCTGCCACTTTTCCTCCTCATGATTGTCTCTTTTGTTGATGATGATTATACCTATGTCTCAAAATGATAGAGGCAATGATTTATTGATGCTACAAATCTACATGTACGCTCTGAATTACAACTATAACTCGCACTCTTTACTGTGTCCATGACAACATCAAGTCAAGCAAGACAAGTCTGGTTGAATGGAGAGTAAAACTGCTGTTCTCTGTTTTTAATTCTCACTCAGCAGTTCCTTTACATTATTTCTCTGCTTCTTTCCTTTCTGTGTCTTCGCACATGTAGGGCTGAAACAGAGACAGAAGGTGTGTTTAAGCGAGAGAGAAAGAGACCTGATGCTGGACAACGGGAGTGTATCATCATAGCAACGACACCATAAAGTAGCCATAACAATACTGTTGGATTGTGGGAATTATGAAAGTGTAAATACTATGGTATTTGACTATGTGTGTGTGTGTGTTCTCCCTGAGACCAGATGCTAAGAGGTGGTAGCTCGGTCCGCAGGATAAACAGGCAGTCATTCCAAAAAAGATTCAGTCATGCAGAAATATGCACACTCTCACTCTTTTAAACTTAGTCAGCTCTTGGTGCGCGTTTAATCCTCCGCTTCAGATTGTGTTTTCAGTAAAAGTGATGAGCTGTTTACTCGCCCCTGAACTGACAAATATTTGGAGAAAGACGGGAGCGTAACAGTTGTTTGGTGACGGATATCAGTCGGTTGCCTCTCTCTCTCTTTATACTACACTGACTAGTGACACAAGCTCTTAACAAGAGAAACAGCCAGTTCAATTAGATTGTGTGGCCGGTGTCCAGTGGTCCAAAGGAGCAGGGGCCAAATTGTGGCGTGTTAAGAGGTGGAACATCATTCCAGCAGCATGGTGACAGTTTTATTACGAGGTGTAATAGCTTGGCTGAACACTCGGAGCTGGCCTTTCTGAGAGAATCAGCCGCAACTTCTGTATCTCACAGTCTGTAGTATTTATGTTGCTGAACATTGCGTGCAGAAACACAAACACTGAGAACGACAGTCTCCTATTTCAAGTGTCATGAAACTACCCTAATTTGATGCAGGAATAGATTTTTCAGTTTCGTTCTGTGATGAAATGCTGCTTCACATACAGCAAAAAAAAAAACAGCAATTCATTCTCTCATTAAACTGACCAAGGTCTCGCTGCAAAGGCCCAAAGAGGTAAAACTATTTCATGAGACAGAAGCAAAAAATGTAAAGAAAAGTTTAGAACAACAATTCACTGCTTTCCTTTTTCGACCCCTAAGTTGGGAGCCACTGCCCAAATTTCTACCTGTTAGAATGAAAACAGCATCTTAACCCCATGCTGTATTACCAAAAGAGACAACTAAAGATGTAAAAACCAACAAAGCGAACATCACAAGACAGATCCTTAGCTTTGTCACATGAAAAAATCTAATATAAGTGGTTTTCTCCTTATTCCCACTCTCCCTATTTATCTCCGTCATGAAGAGTTTACAGACAAACATTACAAAGACTTTATTGTGATAGTTTTCTTCCCAGGGGGGTCTGAAGTCTTTCTGATCTTAATGAGCTTAAAGTCTGACTGTTTTTCTGGTTTAATCGCAAAAACACTCTCAAGAGATGTGTAAAAAACCCGCCCAACTGCGATCCTTTGGCACCTTTTCGAAGACTTAGCCATGTCTTACACACATGTGCGCCATATGTAGTCATGCTACTGTAAGAGCAGGCTGGGTGGCACGGTCGGCTTTTTTTCCATCTCTAGCACCCACAGCTTGTCATGTCACGGGAAATCAACACAAACAGATGTGACGCTGCACCCCGGCGTATTGTTGTGTAGTGGAGCTGAGCCAGACCCAGATTTAGAATAATGAGATGAAATATAGCATGTAAATAAGGTTGCCATTTTTCTCCACGGGCCAACAGGCTGCTTTTTAGAAGGCAGTGCTTGTTTCGACCTTCTAAAGCTCTGCCGCGAGTGAAGAACCCGGACAGATGGCGGGAGCGCTTCACCGTTGGCTTCCTGCGCAGATGGGAGAGTTTTTATGTGTGTGTGTGGGGAGTGTGTTGACAGATTGGAGATTTTGGAGATGGTGGCAAAAAAACTTTTGACCTCTCCCATGTGTGTATGTGTGTTTATATGTTGGCAGATGACATTTTAGAGGTACTGGCTTAAAAAATATTTATTTTCCTCCCTTTTCTGGATGAGAAAAACGTCCTGATTTTCCACTCCTAGAAGCTAATGTCTTCACTCTGTTTCTCCTGTTCTTGTTTGTTGGCTCCCTGCTTGCTGACAGCGACATGGGCAGCCTAATAAAGAAATAAATGGCAATAAATCTATTCAGAGGACGCCACTGACCTTTGTGGGTGAGTCTCAGTGGTGTCTGTGGCACCGGGCAGTTGGCATTATGATTGGTATGTGACATTACGCTAGACAAAGAGGCAAAATACAAAACTACAAATTGGTTCCACACAAAAGCAAAAGCAGTTTTGGTTTCCACAATCCAGTTGGCTCGGCTTCCAGCTCGCACTACGAGTGAGTGCGAGTGCTAAAGTTCATGTGTCATCACTTAGAGGATGCCAAGATAAATCAAGGACAGGTAAACTCAAAGAGGTGAATCATTTAACAACATTTAACAACAAGGTTTCAGAGACAGATCCTATCTGCTTGGTTGATGAGGAGCCGCTGTTGCTGTTTCTAGATTTAATTAAAATCTAACGTTTTAATCTTCAACATCGGAGCTTGGCTGAGTCATCGCTGGCAGATGCACTACCTCCACAATTCAATAAGAAGGCAAACTCAATTTGTAGGCAGATCACAGCAGGCTTAGACAGAACTTATGTTCCGTCTGACCCGTGTAGACATTTCGACATGGCAGTGAATGTTTTCTTCTTCTTTTTCTTTCAATGTCGAAGGTGTCGCTGTTAAAGTTAACCTGTCTGAATGTTTTAGCCTTTTCCAGGACATTTCTACACACTCCACAAACAATGCCTCTGACATACCGCACACACTCAGAGCTGAAAAAAGCCGACTACCTGTTGATTCTACAAATCACAACCCTGTGTGTGCCTCACGACAGAGTGCAGTGCATAATTATGATTGTCAAAGGGCCCCATATTCGGAAAAACACGGGGTAGAAAGCACTTCAGAGCCATTTGCAGTCTACCAGTATTTTTGTTCAAAAACTGTGCTAGCTTTGACACGCTTTAATTTTGAGGCTTTTATTCGTGGCTCACAAAAGAAGGTAAAATATACCATATGTAAGAAAGTGACAAAACAAAAATCTGACAGATGTTGAAAATAAGAAAGCACTACTAAAAGCCTGCACTTGAAACAAGAGATATTTTTTGACCACTAGAAGGTATGGCTCAGTGAGCAGAGCAGAGAAGTTCTACTTAAGTAAAGTGAAGCAAAGCTGTTTTTCTCCCTGAGTAAAGAGAAGAGGACTAGGAAGGGCACTTGAGAGGAGCTGTGCATCAGTCAGCCATTGTTGAGCACTGCAGGACTGCATAATAGGTTTTCTGCAGCCTTTGGACTGGACCACACGTACAAACACACTCGGCTACAAAAGATGACACAGATGAATAGGCAGACAAATTGCAGCCAGAAATGCAAATATGGAGTGGCTGTGGAGAGACTGAAGCTCTCACGTTGAGCCGATCATCTTCCACACCATCCATAACTGCAGCCACTGGTCTTACCTATTCCACCTCTCCCAACCACCAGGCAGGTCTCAGCTCCGACGCCACACTCCTTGAGAAGCTCCACCACCTGCGTGTGTGTGAATCCCTGCACGGGTTGCTTGTTAATCTCCACAATCAGGTCACCCTCGCACAGGCCCGGGCAGCCCATAGGCTCCAGCACTTGTTTCACTCGCTGGCCCGTAGCGCTGTCCGCGATGGTGAAGCCAAAACCATCCATGCCCTTCACCATGGTCAGGGTCAGAAGTTCTCCCTGGGTCGCCCCCGACGACGCCATGGAGACGCTGTCAGGAGGTGTGGTGCCGGTGGTGGGAGGAAGCGAGCCGTCTAGGTGGGTGTCACCCGGGTGAGGGGTGAGCAGCTGCTGCTGGGCGTTGACCTGGTCCTGACTGGGGTCTGTGACAAAACGTGCCGTGCGGGACAGATAGTCCAGGTAGTTGTCGTATCCCGTCCTGCCATTCACCATGATGGGCCGCTGCTCCATGATGCCCAGTGGGGAGATGATGGTGGTGGTGGTGTTGTTGTTGGTGTTGGCAGCTTCCTCTGGGTCGTAGGGCAGAGGGTAGCCACGACACAGGACGAGGGTGACGCTCTGGCCGATTGGAACCGACTGGAAGAGTTTGACCACGTCGGCGTGGGTGGTGCCCAGGACACACACGTCATTGATGTAGACGATGACATCACCTGCAGACAAAAGAATGGATAGATAGAATTAAAAGGGTCAGGTGTAATCACTGAAAAGCTGGGTTAATGTTCATGCCCCCCACTCCACAATTTTTAGCATTTATTAAGACTTTGGGGACCCAAATCCAAATTTTAGTTAGACAAAAAGATTAGCACAATAGCATCATCAAACACTTACATAATAAAACTTTGTTCATCCAGTCCCCGCCTGCAGTAGCTCTATGTCCCACCAGTGGGGCCCAACCCGGAATTTGAGAACCACTGTTCTGGACAGCATTTAAACCTTTTTTAACATGAGACAGTAGAAACAGATAGGATTCAAGGGGAGACAGGGGAAGGATATGGTCCCTAACAAAGCTACAATCACACACTGCAGTTATATGGTATGGGTTTTAATCAGTGGGCTACCAAGATGCCCCTCGACTGAGATGCTAACGATGTAAAATCATTGGTTATTTAATATTTCTGTTTTGTAGTGGCCTTTAACAAACACCATTTCCCACAAACCTGAGACCGTCTCGGGTTAACGGCACTAGCTTGACGGCTTGAGACTGGAGCCTGTTTAATTGTCGCTTGCAAATTGCAGATAAAGTCCTACAGGGCTCTCACATTGTCAGGCATGGGTCACAGGTATGGCATTTGTTTTAATTAGAGAAACATGTCCAAATTAACAGGAAAGGAAATGGTGTCATGTCGCAAATTGTAGCTTGGTTGTTGCAAATTTGATGAACCTGACCTCAGATGCCTGAACGGTGAAGACAATGTTTTGGCTGCAGAGATCAGAGGACAGAGATGAAGGATATTACGGATAAGGGAGAAACAGTTACGGTGTATAATACCTGTGTACTTCATGTGAGCTGAAGTTGTACGGGTGCCAAAAAATGTAATGGCATTTGTACAGGGTTAACATTTTAATAGCTGTAGTAGGTACTCATTTATCTTAGAATAAGAATGTGCATAGTAAACCCAGGGTACACACTTACCTTTTAAGAGAGACCAATAAAAGAAAGTCTCAGTAAAAACTGCATTGAGTTACAGAGCAGCAGCAGCTGAACTGAAGGTGATGTTCGTTCTTCACTCTCTACAGCTATTCTGTCAGTTGTACAGTACATCAGCATTGTCTCTCCTTAATGCCATTCTACAGATAAACATTACCACAGATAATGTCTTATCTGCCTTTCAAGTGTAAAATAGTGCTGATGACAAGTGACTAAAATGTTTGCCTTTTAAGGGGCCAAATGCTTTTACTTGCTCGCTGCAATTTACTGCACTGTAGATAAAAACCTAGCTGACAATTAAATGTTACCACGCAAAAGTGCTGCACATCCAGGCTTATCTTTGCTTCAACCAGATTACTAAATATAGTGTTTTGTGCTCCACTGCACAGGCACCATGCAGGTTTTTTTTAAAACTGGGCAGGTGGGAACACAAGGCACAATCCATTTTAAAGTCTGACAAACAGCATTAGCTAGGTTGATAATGAAAACAATTATTTTCTAATTGCAGGCATAATTGTCGTGCTCTTTAGAGAGAGGGCAGGGTGGGAGTGTAAGTGTGTTTTGCAGTGGAAAAACAAAGATCTTTCATAATTAATAAGCAAAGCATGTGCTTTAGTGATTGGCCCTCACCTTACTAATCACAAGCTCCATCCTGTCCAATTCTTTTAAAATGTGATCATAGCACTAATGGCCGGGTCAATGACACTTTTTTCCCCGAAACAACATGGCAATTCATATTGATTTTTCGAGCTAGACTGACCAATCTGAGTGACGACGGACGAGGTAAATAGAGGTTAAGATATCACCAAAATGTTCTCTCGTTGTAAACTGTGTCGCCCACAAAATGCATTCCAAGTTTGAATGCCGGTATTGACAGTGAGGTCACACCTCGAGGCAGCGTGACGTGAGGGACTTTTTAATTAATCCGGGTAAACGCGAACGACATTTGCCTTGAGCGCCGGTGTCAGAATCAATAGTCGAGCACGCTGGCAGAAAACAAATGATGGTACCGTGACCTCGTGGTGCCCTCGTAGTGCCCACAGATCTCATTCTTTATGACCAGGGAGGAAATGCAGCCAGACGGAGAGCATCAACATGTTTTACAGGTCACATATAGACACCCGTTTGGTGATGCTTATACTAAAGGGTCAGTTCAAACAAATTATCAATAAAATATGTTTGATCTTATTTGCTAAGGTTGAAGGTTTAACAAGATTTTTCCTTCTGAAACTCTGCCACCACCACACTACAATTGATGTGAACTGAATTTTATTTGTGGTGCTCACAGAATTTAAAAATTACACTACTGGGTCAGTGTTTCCTAACCTTTGTGACCCTTTAAAACGATCCAGATTTCACTTATGATTTCTTATCAAAGGTTACACACTTGCTATGAACTGTGAGTGCCTTGAGAGAAAAGGATTTTTTACTGGCTCGTGTTGCTTAATTTTAATCTCTTAAAGACAGACACTATTTAGTATTTCACAAGAAAAAACAAAGTTCCTGTTGTCTCTGACAAGTCAGAGACAACGTTATCAGCTAACTCATGGAGCTAATGTTAGCGTAAGCTAGATACATCTGATAGGAGGCCAGTAGAAATTATGGACGGGGACACACAAGTTTTCCAAATTAGGCACTTCATCCACACCAACTCTACCCACCACCCACTCTTACCTTTGATATCAACACAGGCAATTTCAGATATTAGCCATTAGCCTCCATCAAGTTGCAATATAAAAGCCTCATAAGGCCATTGCAGCTGTGTTTTTAAAAAAGAAATCTAGTTCAATGAATGTGCCAACGTTACTAAAAGGTTAAGCTAGCTAAAGTTTTATTTGCTAGTGTTCCTAGCTCACATTCAGCATTGCCTTTCATACAGAGATTTGCCCATTGCCTCTCTGTTTCTTTTATTTTCTTGTTCTCACTGTAGCCTGGCTTTTATTTATTGACCACTGGTGAACACACTGTTTATTGTGTAACATAAATTGTATTATCAGTGATATAGGCCAGTAAGTAAATTGTTGCACTTCGTCTGTAACCTTTGACCCCTCCTGACAGCCGGCCTGGCTAATAGCATCTGCCGCCAACAGTTGTCATTCAGAACTGTAAGAAATGAGAAGCCTGCTATTTTCTGTCTGTTTGAAATAAAATACCCAATGTTTTAAGAAATACTAAGAATTTTAATGAGCTGGGAGAACTTCAAGCACAGAGGGAACAGGTGAAACTATCCAGTATTTCACTAGAAAACAAAAGTAGGACGAGGAAAATTTCTGAAAAAGTAAAAACACAATTTTGTGGAGAAAAAAAAAGTTTTTCTTCCTCTTTGCTATCTTGGTGAACATCATGCAAAAACATTAGATCCATCTTGAGACCCCTCAAGGTATCTTTGAACTCTTTGAATCGATAGATAGCACTAGGGCTCAGGAGAAAAATATGTTGTTTTGTAATCTGGGTAAAATGGCCCTTAATAAGCACATATGGTTACAAAGACAGGTAAGTGCATAGAAATGGACATGTAAACATAGAACCGGGACAAAAACACACTCATGGCCACCAAAGAGCCCTCTCTCCATCCATTATAAAACCTCTCGTAGGTCCCTTGTATACTCTAAATCACACTGACCCTAACTGTTAACACCACACTCACTGGGACCAAGACCCACGCTGCCTACTTCATCGTTCATTGTCCCATCCTTGCATATTCCTTATGACATATTCATCTCCAGCTAATGGTGTGTTCAAGAGTCTGTCGACATAACGAGAGGTCTCTGTGGCCCTGCCAAGACGAGGCCACGAGAACAGAGCAGTTTATAGTCTCAGCGGGGGTGCAAGCATTTGTTAGAGACGGCAGTCTTTTGTGTGTGATTGAGTGTTTGTGTGCGTCAGGCTAAAAAGGGTGACATGTAGTGCAAAGTGCATTATGGTGTGATTACAATAATAATAAGAATGTCTTTAGATTTTGAAGACCAAACCTATAAAACACATTTAATGATATGTATATGATATAACTGACTGCCTGCTAATGATTAAGTAGGCCCAGCAGGCTTTGGATATTTTGACATGCTGAAGAAGCATGCATGGGGCTGTATTAAGAGCAATGTTTGGCACAGATTGGAGGGAGATGTCGTATTTTAAAGAACAAAACAACAAAAGCATATGGTGTGTGTAGTGTTTATCTGCTCTAATGGATTTTGGGAAGTTTACACTCAAGCCAACATTAACTGAGAGATGTCAAACACATGGTTAGTCCTCATTCTAATATCCTACTATCTACTGGTCCAAAAGATAACTACCAGTAATCGCATATCTTATTTAAAACATTTACATTTGGTAAATCTAAATCAAGATTTGAGTTTAGCTGGCGATTTTTAGCTGTGACTTTTTAATAAATGTTAGTAAAACCACAAAGCTAAGCCAAACCACCAGCAATCTGCACATATTTGAATTTCTTGATCATTTTAGCTGTTTGTTTTTGGTGTTATAAATTATGATACATGCATATTCTCAGTGTTTTATCTTTTGCAAATATCTTGCCTGGACAAAATTGCACTGCATGTGGTCTGGCAGCCATAAATCAGACATTCAAGTGCTTGAACATGTTTTCCCTTGTTGTAATCACGTAGTGGAGATGGCCAGGACGGGTCATGAAGAGAAAGCGGCACAAATTATCTCTCTGGAATTGAGAATTTCACACCTCCGCAGGCTTGGGTTTCGTCCGTGTGAGCTCTGAGTTACTGTGATCGAGCTAGCTCTGTTACTGCAGAAGTAGGACACAAAGTCTGGGGAGGCATGGTGGGGGGATGGAGGCTGGATGGTGAGATAGAGATGGAGATGAGCTGAAGGGAGGAAGTGGTGGAGAGGAGAGGAAAATGGGAGGTGGGATAGTAGAGATGTGAGAGGGATTTGTTAGTTATTTCTGGGGGAAAAGGGAGAGGGGGAATCTACAAGAAGGAGAGAGGAGGGGATGAGAATACAGACCCAAAATGATTTCTATGCAGTATTGTCAGGACAAGCTTTATTAGTCATCAAAGGATCTATTCTGGACTGCTTCACCCACACATTTATAAAAAAACAGACATTTATGACCCATTTATGACGTCTGTTAACACAACTATCAAAAGTGTTTTGGACAAGTATACCAGCTTTACTACAGAGCAAACTCCCTGACCAGCTTACTTTATATATGATAAATTACCACTATAAGCTCTGCATTTGCTCCAGCATATACAACTAGAAACATTATTGCATGCTGAGAGCACTGACAGACCTGCTAGCTCTATTCCCTTGACCTTTTAGTACAGCTGGTCTGTCTTAGTGTGTGTGTTTGTGTGTATATCTGTGCTGCAGTCCCACCCCCATGTGGCCACAGAGTTATGGTGCTCATAAAGTCCCCTTTATGATTAATGAAAGAACAAGACTCTGGGGTTGGCGCACACGCATGTGCACACACATACACACGCATACAAAACTTACACAATGCTAGCTTAGCAAGTTGCACCTGGAAACACATATACACACAATGCATGCATACAACCAATGTGCATATTTTTGTAATTGTGTTGGGACTGCACTTATAGCCATTGCATCTTTAAGAGGAAGCTTCTTCACCTTCTGGACTGTATACTGTGTTCATATTTTGTCGTGTTTGTTTGAAATTGACTATGTGTAGGAGTACTGCATTAAAAAAGGTGAATGTGGGGCTTTAAAACTTGCGTGTAACCCCATCTTTGTGGATGCATTCTGATGAATTGACCAGATACTGCAAGAATCAAACTTCTAAGAAAAGCCATCATCAGTTTCATTGACTGTGTGTGTTCCCTTGTGGCTATGTGTCAAGTATTGTATGCTCTCTCTCTTTTATGCTGAGGTGTCTCAAGAGAGTTCCTGGCTAAATAAAGGTAAAGAAATATTTTTTCGTTCAAGTCTCAGGCTGTGAGTCTCACCTGTGGCCATCTTTCCGTCAGCTGCGGCCGGCCCATCCGGGATAACGCTCTTGACCTGGAGGAATTCGTCAGGCTCGTCGCCTCCGATAATAGTGAAGCCAAAGCCCATGTTGCTCTTTTGGAGGGATGTGGACAAGAAACTGCCTTTCAGCTGAGTCGGGTCCCGCGTGAACAGCGGCTTCTCTATTAAAGGACATATAAACAAACAAATTAACCAATTACAAACACTAATGCTGTGTAGGCTTTATTGCAAAGATTGAAAAGACCTTAAAGCTGGTGCAGGGCAGTGCTCACAGGGTGGGGGCGGGGGGCATGGGTAAAGCTTATCCAGAAAGATATGGGTGTAGCCACAGGAAAACTGGCAGGGTATGATTTTAACTGCAAAACAGCGAACTTGGACAGAGGCGGGTCTGTGGTGCTGAAAGATGCAGGTGTGGTTCAATGGCTTTGGCTCCCGTGCAAGGTACAAATGCAACATCCCTCCTGGTACACCCAAATATGCAAAACTTATATCCGTTCCTCTCCTCCCATGCTGGGATACGGTGGGCAGAAGGGGTGCAGAGAGCATCAGTGGTGCAGGTCTTCAGTCCCATCCCAAGGCTACCAAGGAAGCAGCAAATTCGGCAAATGACATGCTGTCAAACAGGGATCAGTTCCAAGAGAAGATGCTTGAGAGGGTTAGGGAAGAACTGGGAGATTTCTGAAGGAGGGAGAACTGTGAGATTTCTGGAGGAAGGGCGCCTTGTGTAGGAATGAGAGGATCTCAGCCAACAAGCTTAGTCACACTTAACCAAGTCTCCAATCTTTTCACCTCTGTGGGAGACGTGGCTAGTGTGCTAGTTAACATACATTGTTTGCCCTCACTGGTCCAGACATAGACTGAGTGATTACACTCTCCTGCCTGCTTATGCCAGACGATAAGACATGTCATGGTACACGCTCGCCACACAAATCCTTCAACTGCCTCAAGGGAAAAGCTTGCTTACGAGCTAGCATGCTTACAGTAATTCAAACGAGCGCAGGCAGCCACGAGACCGACCGTCAGCCTCCTTTGCTTCGCTCTTGGCCTACTTACTGACAAAGTGCCACAGGGAGAAGGGGCTACAGACAGGCTGCTCTAGCACCACAGCGCAGGCGGAGGTGTGAAGTGGCTGCTGCTGCTGTTGGTGGTGTTGGTGGTGGTGGGGGCACATATTCATCCGCCGAGTCAGAACACGCCGGAGCGGGGAGACGTCGGCGGAGGAGGATGTAGCATATGCAGCCGCCCTGCGACCCAGAGTTGGCGAGCGGGAGAGGTCGCCGAGGCTGTGGCAGCGCTCGGGCACCGGGCCGACCTGAACAAGGGGGGATCTGTGGATGGTGGCACAGGGGCTGGCATCCTCTACTGGCATCAAAGTTTGGAGGGAAAAGGAGGAGGAGGATAAGGAAGGAGGTGGAAGTAGGGAGAGGGAGGAGAGAGAGCCTAACTGGAATGTACACAGAGTGTAACCACGGAGACAGGCTCTCGACTCAGAGCGGTGGACTACTACGTTACTATGGAAACAAACCTCCACTTCACCAGTCCAGACAGTTTTTTCTAGCAGTGCATCCTACTGCTATGGCTGGAGTTAGCACTGGAATTAGGTAGCAACAAACCAGTCATTAAACAAAACAGTGAATCACATTTAAACCCACATGTTCACTTTGGCAGAGCGCTATTTATGTGACGAGTACTATCAGTCCCACCAGGACGTCGGCATTCCTCCAAATGTTTGACTGAGGCTCAAAAGTGAATGTGATGTTGAGTCTTGCTGTCAATTAACACAGCAACAGGCCTGTTTCTAATGAACAAAATGAGTTATCATGCTTGGTTGTAACCCCTCTTTGCATGTTGCTATGGAGATCGAGTTTCTCTTAAAGTCGAGGAAATTAATTTGGGAAAAGTGGAAAGTTTTTTGTACATACTATATTGATTTCAGAGTGTCAATTCATATGAAAAGGCTCAACAAAACCCTGAAATATTCTGTTCTACAAATGTTCAGAAAATTAAATGGTTGTTTAATTTTGCGACACATTATCTCACAAGCCTGGAAAACAAGGCACGATAGATTATTTACTTCTTATTTCTCAAGAATTATGCACTACATGTTTTGTCAGTGATTTATGAATTATGTTGTAGAAATAAAGATTTTTAATCTTTATTTTTGGACTTTTTGCATATGTGGCATTCTGGATCTGGCTTATATGAATTTGTGGTGTCTTGTAAGCCCATAGTTGTAGACATGACACAAAACTTTATTCATATAAAGAAGCTACGACATCAGAGAGGTTAGTAACATTTTGTTTGAAAGTTGTTGCCATTTTTCTACATTATTTATTGGTTATAATGCTATTAAAAGGCCCATAGCTGCTGTCAGTGGCACCAAAAAACAAAAATTTCCCTGATTACATTACTGTTCTGAAATAAGTTTTCCATTTAGACAGCTTCTGAGTGGAGATTTTTTGGTTTTGTAACTGGATTTTTATTGGCCAACCTTCATTTACATATATAATCCACTAAAACCTTTTGACTGTTTCTAATTACATCACATGTTTAATAATTGTCAAATAGTGCTGGTTATAATGAAATAGAAAAGGTGCAATAAATCAATATTTGAAGCTAATAAGAGACCTTCTGGGCCGATAAATGGATAAAGTAAGGAAACTGAAGGCGTTTGTGGCATAATAAAAATATGATTAACTTGAAACTGAGTTAGCTATACTGACTTAGATACATTCTCTACAAACCTACAGACAGCTAATAAGTATGACTATATTCCCTAATAATGGAAAATTAATGGTTATTGTCCTTTAAAAGTCAAGACACCAGCGTGGTGGTCTTACCTCTGTAGATGGTGGGAAGGGGCAGTGAGGACAGACCCTGGCTTTGCATCTGCTGCTGCTGCTGGAGTCTCCTTTTAGCCTCCAGGACTGGGTTCTCAAACTGGGTCCTTCTATTTATATGGCTACGATGATAAAAAGAAAAAAAAAAGAAAGATGAGATTTCAGATTTCACACTATCCTGCTGCACTTAACTTAGCCCCCCTCTCGGCAAAGAGATCAGATCTAAAAAATCCTGGCACTACAGCAGCTATTGCTATGATGATTAATTAAATGGCCGGCCCCACAGATTATGTAACAGAGCTGCAGAATGGCTTTGCTAAGTTAAAAAAGAACAAACAACTCATTCTGGGACAGTCAGCCCCCTTTCTTATAAGCAGAATTACGTGAATGAGTGACTGCGAGGAAACCTACACATGAAACAGAGATTTCCTTTAACGCCCCACGTCGGTCTTAATTTAGTTTTCAAGGGGGATGATAGTCAATGACTACAAAAACTGTAATTTGCCAGTGTGAAATAATTAGTCATCATTAGATACTTCCTTCACTCTTTCAGGCTGCATTGTGCTCTCAAATAAAAACACACCATCTTTTTCGCTCCTCTCCTTATCTTTTAATGAACACCCCAGGATCACGCTGCTAATTACAAAGCAGCTTGACTATATTTTTTACATAGTTACATAATTTCAAGGTCTGGCAACTTCTTTCATGATATTTACATGACCAGAAAGCAAGAGAATGAGAGCAATCTCGAGAGGGGGAGCGCGGTGTACGAGGCAGAGAGCAGTCAAGTGTCATTCTGGAGGTTTTCTTAAGCAAAGTCGCGCCAAATGACTCCCCTTGCTCGTCTAAAAATAGAGCCCCGTCCCTGCGCCCCAGAGTAGAGAGCATCCAGCCAAAGAAATGACACCTCTGAACAGGGAGGGGACATGCAGTTCAATAGAGAGGACAGGCTACTGCAGCAGTTGCTATGTGGACACGCGTACGTGGCTAGAGATGAATGGACATGGAGAATGTTTAGAAAGGGACACTGATCTCTGTAGAAGCGGCCTTGGGTGTGTCAGACAGAAGAATGACAGAGAAATATGGGTAAGCACACACAGACAAATAAACTTCAAACTGCAAACAAACAGTGTACCATCAGGAGGCAGACAAAGGGAGGAAGTGCTTCCTGGCTGCAGCGCTAGTCTGCTCCTAATAAATATGATTAATGCAGCACCACTGGGCTTCACTGAAAATCAAACGCAAGCCATTACATATTAAAGATGTACCCGACTTACTCGACATAGTAGCTGCCGTAAATGGGGTCATCGATTTTCTCCCAGCCGTACGGAAGCTCTGTAAAAAACAACAACAGAAGAGCAGCAGTGAGACAACAATAATGAAGGGCTTGTTTATTCAATGAAGTCGCACCAGCATATTGATCTTGCATGAAAACATCTTTGTGGCAGAATTAGTTTACAGGATCATTTTTACTGTCGGTAAATGTTCTGGTGTCTCAAGTGGTATACAGTGCATGTTTTTGTCTTGTTCGCCCACAGTTGTATGCGTAATAAAAACAAATTATTGTGGTTTTTTAGTGTTTTTTATTGGTTACAATGCTGCTGTAGTGACATTAAAGGTGCCCCTTTACATCAGAGAGGTTGGTGACACGACTTGCGCAAAACTTATTTTGTTTGAAAACTGTTGCAATTTTTCAACGTTATTTATTGGTTGTGATGCTATTTTGGGCCCATAGCTGCTGTCAGTTACGGCACTCCTCACAGATTACACTAATTACTTGGATTACTGTTCTGAAATGAGTTTTCCAATTTGACATCTTCCGATTTGTAACAAACATATTTCATAACTGGATTTTTCAGCAAGACAACAATAATGAAGGGCTTATTTATTAAACGAACTGCAACAGCATGTTGATCTTACATGAAAACATCTTTGTGGCAGAATTAGTCTCGACATCGTTTTACTGTCGGTAATTACCAGGAATTTGATGGTGCAATAACATGTTAACTGGAGGGGTTGCTGTTCTTTCTGAGCTGTCATATGTTGCTGGTGAATATTCTGAAACCGTATCTTAAAATTTAATGGCGACAAGACATGAGATAAAAACATAACTATGTCTTTTTCTCTGCCACTTGTCACATTGATTGATTTAAAGAGGCTACTGGCTCTTTAAAGCTGCGCATCAAATGCATCCGTCTCCAAGAAAAGTTGCAAAATAACACCAAATATTGATAGATCTAGTGGCTGAATTTAAATTAGTGAAATATTTATGCCCTGCATCTATTCCATGCTGTAAATATTGTGTTTTGATGTGGGAACTTTGCATAGATTAACAGCTTCAACTAGAACAAGCTCAAACCCTGAGGGTGTTGAACTTTCACAGTATCAACGGGTACATATTTCCATTGGTGTTTAACAGTTTGGCTCCAAATGTTACAAGCTAAAGACTCAATGCAGTAACAGACAAATAGCATAAGACAGCCAATTACTGACACATGACAGACAGATCAAACCACTACTAAATGCTTTGATAAGAATTTGAATGACACATAATGTGTCCACAATGACGCAACATGACACAACGTGATGTTTTCACCACCTGCGAGGCTATGAAACATTTGTAAATAATAAATGGAGTCATTGTGACTTATAGTATACTGACATTAGATTGGCATGCTTTTAAAAAAAAAAAATGAATACATCTTCTTTCTACTGAACACATGATTTTGAGGAGCACAGGAAAGTACTCAATAAAATTACCTACAGTCTACTTCAAACTACTATCTTCTACAGCTTTTGGTTCCTTTCTATAGGATTAATGTTTCTTAATGCATTCCCCAAAGTTATAACATGTGGGTTTGAATACCAAACACTTAGTATAACTAAGACTAAGACTACAGCTACGCTACAGGCTCTGTGTGGATGACTGACGGTGGCACAAGATAAAAAATGAGACGATCACGAAGGTATTAGAATTCATCCTCGAGGAATATCTGCAGCACATTTCAATCCATACAATAGTTGTCGAGGCATTTTACCATAAATGTCAACTTGCTGGTGGTGCTACAGGAAAAGTCTGGCAATCACCAAAGTCATTAGGATTCATCCTCTGGGACCCATAATGTCTGTACAAAAGTTCATGGCAGTCAATCCAATAGTTGTTGAGACTGGGGTGGTGGACTGACGGACCAATATTGCCATCCCTAGATAAATATCTTCAACTTGGCATTTCCAAAGTGGCCTCTAACTTTTCAACAGTACTGCAAAGTCATAGATATTTCTGCTCTTTCTGCCTCTTTCTGTGTGTGGATTGCACTGCGGAACATGCTGTCTTTGTTCCCAGTGATCAAAGCTGATCTTCTTCAAACCCCTGACAGTCATCAGTCATACTGGACAGGATTTTCAAAGTTGCCCTCTTCTCTCTCCGTTGCCCACAGCTCACTGACAGAACACATTTCTCAAAAACATGTCTAGAAGGAATTCCCCCTTTGCTTTCCAGGATATGAGCAATTAACATTTAAATCATAGTCCCCAATGGAGACTCCAGTGTTTTAGCATAATAGCATGATCATTCACAACGAGCTGGGTGATATAGTGCAGGAGGCTCCAGCTGAAATAGCATCTAAGCTGAATCTAGCACGGAGCTTGGGGACAGTGTGTTCCAGTGCAGCTCAGCTTAGAATCAGACCAGCTTTGATTAGTGACAATGTGAAGTTAATCAGGATGAGAGCGGAGATAACAGCAGAGAAAATACTTCCTAATAAGAAAGGGAAGCAACCAGAGGGAGTGCTAAAGCACCTTAGGCTCCCGAGGACCCTCTGGCTGATCGAAGGCACGGCTGCAGCTTGTGAGAAACACCAAAGATATAATATACTGTATGGTCATTGCAATACATTTATTATTACTGCTTGCCCTAGTTTACAGACTCAATAGATTGCTGTGCATACTCCCACCCTTCCCAGCTCTCCCACGCAGAGCAGAAATATCAAAACAATGCTGGTGCAGTGCTCCTGCACGTGCCATATGCTTCTCTGATCCCCTGCCCCCATCCCCTCAAAACAAATTATTAAACTTTCAGTAGGACACACTATTTTTTGCCCGCACACTCACTAAAATGCATACTTACCACACACACACACACACACGGTTGTGAGTGATATAACAGAGGGCTGCGAGCAGGTTGACAGCCCACGGGAATACCTCCTGCGAACACTGCAACATTCCTTAGCCCCATCTCCACTCATTAAATATGAAAGAGAGTGTTTCATGTTCTCACCTTTACTGGGCGCCACACACAAATGCGCATAGACACACATTACGTTACTTACTTTACACACACTAACCATCTTGATCATTTTGCATATGCACACACACACATGGGAGATCAAAGGGCTGCAGCTCAGCAGCCTTCCAATGAAAAGCTTTTCTATTAAAACGGCCACAGGAGGAGCTACAGGGAACCAGAAATGTGTTTGCTTTCAGGAGCAGGGAGAAGATGGACTACACAAACCAAACTGCACACACCAAAAAAAGGATAACTCTGTTTGTTACGACTCGGCTCTTATTTTCGACTCTTATTTCGACTTTTCGAAGTTACGACAACACTGCACTCCCTAAAGCAAATGCCAAAATCTGGGAACACAGTAACAAGATCTGATTTAAACAAAAATGTTTAAATCAAAATGTCAACTTGGTAAATACAGTATTATTATTGTCAATAGATTACATGTAGGTGGCCAAT